TATACCCCAATAACAGGCTTAAAGAGAGCCAAATCAAGAATGAACCGCCATTCACAATTATAACAAAGAGAATAAAATACCTAGGAATACAACTAACAAGGAACGTAAAGGACCTCTTCAAGGAGAACTACAAGCCACTGCTCAACGAAATAAGAGAGGACACAAACAGATGGAGAAACATTCCATGTTCATGGTTAGGAAGAATCAATAACATGAAAATGGCCATACCGCCCAAAGTGATTTACAGATTCAACGCTATCCCCATCAAGCTACCAATGACCTTCTTCACAGAACTGGAAAAAACCACCTTAAAATTCATATGGAACCAAAAGAGAGCCCACATAGCCAAGTCAATCCAATGCAACAATCTTACATATTCTTCACATGTACCCCAAAACCTAGAATGCAATAAAAATAAAATATTAATCTTGTGTTAAGCTGTAATAAAGATAAAACATTTTTATTAAGCATTTCCTGTTTGCTAAGCATTGCTGCAGACATTTTACATACATTTTTTTTTCTAATTATTATGTATAACCTTCCAAAGTTGACATCACGACCTTTAACAAAGTTAAAGGGCTTACACAAGCCACAGGAGCTAGTCAATGACATAGTGTGGAATCTCATTCAGTCTAGTCAGAGTTTATTCCCTGCAATATTAACCATTAACCAATTAGTCAGCATCACATTTAGAAGCAGAGAGACACAAGACAAACTTCCTTGACCCACCGCTTTAACCAAAGTATAGTAAGCATAACTGTTTGTGATGATAAACACATTTCTACTCAAGTTTTTCCAAATGATTGAAATCCGGTTTTTCTTTTCAGGTCCTATTGTTCAGTGTCAGTGTATAAATATAAAACATAAAAGAATTTATTTTTTATAATAAATACCTTCGCTATCCAGATCATCACTTTGAGCAAACACACTGTCCATAGAACAGTCAGGAATAAGGGTCCATTCATCAAATTTATGCAGCACATCTTCAGAAAAATTTCCATTGCTGCCTGAGGCTGTTCCTTCTTCCACAGCACTTTTCATCTGATATCTGATCACCATTCTTGCTAGTGTAGATGCTATATCTGAAAATAAAGATATACACCAGCAACTTAGAAATCAATAATTATGCAAAAATAAGCATACATAGGACCAAAGTTCTTATGTATTCCTATGCTTCTAGAGAATATTTCTATTTTTCCTTCCAAAGTCACCTTACAATAGTGATTCTGAATAATGAGCAGGTGGCAAATCATATTTTGTTAAAAAAAACATAACAATATACAGTGCTTTGGTGTAGATTACAAAATTGAATCTCTATGGAACCAATTTTATCCAGGAAAAGGCCTAGGCTTTGAAGCCAGACAGGCCTGTGTTCAAGTCATAGAAATGCCATTTGTGAGTCACATAAGCTCCCTGACTGTCAGTGTCCTCACCTGGAGAATGAAGATGATAATAAATACAGCATATGCTGATGGAAAAAAGTAAATGAAATGATGCATATAAAATGTTTAGCACAATGCTTAGAACACAAACAATGCTAAATAAAGGATGTTGTTATTTTTATAAAGTTTGCTGAGTGATTCATTCTACTGGGAAATTTGAAGGCATTTCAAAGTCAACATTCTTCTCACAACTTCATTACATTTTATAATAGCTCTGCTATGAAGAAATAAGTTGGCAGAGTCCTCATTGTTCTACATATAGCCAAGAAAATTTCTTCAAATATTACTGTGAGAGCTCACACACATGTATGTCACTCAGTCAAATAGTACCTGAAAAATGTTTTAAAGCAATGATCCAAAATGTTCTTTACTCAGACCAGCTGCCAGTGAAATCACAATTATACCCTCCAATTAATCAAATGACATTACTATGTTTTTTAAATTGGGTAAGACATGTCAATGGTAAAAACTTCATACAGAACAAAGAGAATACAGTGAATGATATATCTCCCTCCATCCCTCTCCACGAGCCCACAATTCCTCTCCATCAGATGGTGAAGATTAAAGTAAGCAGGTTTTTGGCATGAGACTAGTTTAAGTAATGAGACATGGGATCTAACCAATCTATTCCAAAGACCCAGAGACAATCAGAGAACTCATTTTGAGAGAGTTTTATTTCATATTCAAACTTTTATGGCTGTCATATTCCAATTGCATTTTCATCAACATCAGCATACTAAAAACACTGTTCTGTGCCCTTTTTTTTTTTTTTTTTTTTTGCCATGGAGTAACGTAATCTTTATCAGGACATTAAATTTGCTACGTTTCCCCCACAAAGCATTCCACAACATGAATGTGGCATGATTTATTTGAATAGTTCCTCTTGGGGAATACTTAAGTTTTTTCATACTCTTTTGCTATTATAAACAATGTTTTAATGTGCATTTTTGTATATAATTCCTCGTGTACATTGAGAATGTCTTTATCATAGATTCCTAACAGTATATTGCTGGTTCAAAGAGTATGTATTTATATTAAAAATATTAGTGGATATTGCCAAATTGCCCTCAGAAGAGGACAATTTAAATTCATATCAGTGTATGAAGCATGTTTCCACATGTTTATCAATATCAACATAATGTATTACACAATTTTTATTTTTTGCCAATATTGGATATTTAATTCTAAATGATCATCTGCTATGTGCAAAGTGCTAGTATATATGGTAAGGTTACATCCATGAACAAAATCAACATTGACTTCATAGTACTAATATCTACCAAAAAGTAGATTATAAAAATGAAAAAAATAAATTATATAATGTGATGAGTGGTAATACAAGTGAGAAATAAAGTGCTATAGGGTCATGTAATAGAACCTTTCAGACAGATGATGGGGCTGAGACAGGAAGAATGAAGAGACAGCCAGGTGAAGAGAGAATTTACAGTTAAATAGGGAGAGTAACACTGGAAAAAGCCTGGAAGTAAGAGTACATGAAGTACCTGAGAAACTAAGGAAAATTCAGCCTGATTGGAACTTTTGGAGCCCACTGAGAAGTTGGAAACCCTGATGTATAAAGGCACCAAATTGCATGGATAGGTACTTTTCTCTAACAACCCTCAACTATCTGGGTGAAAGTGGGGGGAAAAGTAGAGTAGCAGACTGACCAAAACTGGAGTTTTGCTCGTGACTACATCATAAAAATGAGAGAAACAAACATGATATTTGCAAGATGGTCCTTAAGATGATGAGTCATGGAGTATGATGACCATGGGGAAGGAGATAGGCATGGGACTGAGTTAACACAGGGAAAGCTGGGAGCTTACATGTTAAAAACACATTTAGTGTTAATAAATGAGAGCTCAAAAGACAGAAATGGTGTCAGAGGATGGTAGCTTACCATGAATACACATAATATGTAGAAAATACACAACAGCTTGAAAGTATAAAGAAAATGCATTATTAATAGAAATATAAGTATATTCTCAGTTAAAAATGCCAAGTAAATATGTGTATATGCTTTTACATACATTTGAATGCATATGTATATGTAAGCATACAAAAAGTTTGGGAAACTATCCATATTAATTACTTATAAGGTATTAAAATAAGGTATTTTTATTTTCTTTTTTATAATTTTATATTTACTTATTTTTAAAACAGGAATGTCTTACTTTAATAACAAAAATACAATATATTAAAAAGTAGCCCCGCAAAAACCTTCCACTATTCTGCTCTATTTATTATTATTATTTTATTTATTTATTTATTTATTTTTGAGACAGAGTTTTACTTTTGTCACTCAGGCTGTAGTGCAGTGGCACGATCTTGGCTCACTGCAACCTCCACCTCCTGGGTTCAAGCGATTCCCCTGCCTCAGCCTCTCAAGTAGCTGGGATTACAGGTGCCCACTACCAGCCCAGCTAATGTTTGTATTTTTTGTAGAAACTTGGTTTCACCATGTTGGCCAGGCTGGTCTCAAACTCCTGACCTCAGGTGGTCCACCTGCCTCGGCCGCCCAAAGTGCTGGGATTACAGGTGTGAGCCACTATGCCCTACCTGCATTATTTTTATTAAATACCTATTTGCTATCTCAAAAAGAACTTAAATGTGTCATTTTGAAGTATTTCATAGCTGAAAAAAAAATCCAAACCTTTGCAAAATTTTTGCTTAAGGGCTCTCAGACTGGCATGAATAACCACCAAAAGACAAGTGACTTTAAAAAAAATACTAGTAAAAATAAGAACTGTAAAAAATATTCCGTTGATACTTACTTGTTTGTTTCCTTACATTAGAAGCCTTATCTGGAAATAAAGGACCAAGCCAAGAAGGTTCAACTTTCCCTATACAAAATCCTCCAAGGCAAATGCTATTGTTGGCCACATCCAGGGCCAGCCTCCGTAAGAGTAAGCTGATGATCCGGCTGTCGCCTTTCCCAATGCTTATCGTCAGCGCTTTCCGTACATCTTGTTCACGAGATCCACTATTCAATAAGAGCTCCACCAATTTGGGACTGCTCCCTTTCTCACATACCTTTTAAAGAAAAAAAAAAAGTATATTAAAAACCTACATTTCTTCCTTTTAGGAGACTGGCAAATCAAACTTGGTGTGATTTTTTTATACATCTCCAATTTAGAATGAAACCAAATAAAACACGGCAAAACTGACCCTTGAATGGATTGGGAAATGAAATGAGATTAATGCCATACATGGGAGAATAGCATGAATAATCTGCCACATGAGAGTCAGTTTTCAGGAAACAAACAATATTATATGGAGACAAAGTTCCATAGGCCTGGCATCAAGATCTCTGTTTACATCCAGACTCTACCAATTATCCACACTTTCTGAGCTTCTGTCTTCTCACTGTAAGATATCTGGGAGACCAGTACCTTAACACAGTAAATACTACTATCCTGCCTTCATTTGTGACATAGAATAACTAAACGGGGATATAACTACTGTAAAATGTATTAATGCCACACGCAAAGGACAATCATTACTCCTGTCTGGTTTTCCTGAGCTCCTCAGGACAAGCATCTGAATTTCCTCAAAGATATACCTTGTCTCTTGGTCTTCGACCTTCCTCTGAATGTTATGTTTTCAGAACATGTGTTCAGGGTGGATTAGCCTGCTAAGTGCTACAAAAACTAGAACAACTCAGTAATCCAGGAGAAGCCCTAGCAACCTGTGGCAATGCACACTGGCCCTAGACGCTAGAAAGGAGCTATCAACTAGAAGACCAAGATAATAGGTAAAAGAAATAATATCCATCAGTTACTGTGTTAAATCCTGTACACACGTGATCTTTAATCTTTAAAAAAAATCCTATGGCATAGCAATTATTACTCCCATTTTATAGATGAGTACTTAGAAAACACATAATTTGTCACTTATAGCTGGCAAGCAACAGAGACTTGGATGTGAAGCCAAATCTGCTGGCTTTAGGACCTGTGCTTCTTTCATTACCCCAAATTAAACACTAGAAAATGAAAAGAAGACCCAAAGATCCCAAGTACCAACTCAGAGGAAAAAGATATTGGTACAGTTTTTGAATTTTCCAGAATTAAAGTGTTTCCAAGGGATTTGAGGGGACATTCACGTGTGTGGTTGGAAGGCACCAACTAAATGCCCACCAGTCTCCAAGTTCACCCAGCTTCAACCCATCCTCAAAGTCACTACAGAGCTATGATTAAGTCACCGTCCTCTTTAAAAACCTTCTAATATGCTGCTGCTTCAGAGCATTCTTCCAAACACTGCATGTAATTTTTCAAACTCATTACCTTTTATGCTATTTCTATTATCCTAAATGTCTTCCTCTACTCTTCACCAGCAAAAAGGTGTTCATTCTTGAAAAATTATCTTCAAAGTTTTTTGCAGAGAAGTCCTTGCTACCAACCTCTCAGGCCATACACACCATTTCTCCTCCAGGCCCCCATCCATTTCTTTTAATATAGCACTAAGCACACAAACATACATACCCACATGCTTTCTTACTAGAATGCAAAGGCCTGTATATTACTGCAATCCAAACTGTATTCCTGAAGCCTAGCATACCTAACAAATGTATTTGATATAAATAGCAAATCATAAAAATTATCTTTAAAAGCTCATAGCAAAATTAAAAGAAAGGGAGATAGAAGGAGAAGGGGGGAAAGGAAGGAAGGAAGGAAGGGAGGGAGGGAGGGAGGGAGGGAGGGAAAAAGTCACAAATGCCTTCTCCTTTAGCCCAGTAACGTTTTTTCTCTAAGATATGCCACTCACTCCTTACTTTGTACTAAAGTGACTTGTGTTTTATGTTCTCATCAATGCCCCTGACCCATACCGTCCTGTAAACTATCTTGAAACAAGAAACCCCTTTTATAATTCTCTATTAATTATCTGGCACTATGCTCCGCACATTATTGTGGAAGGAATTTTCCTTTGAGGATCCAAAGTATCCAAGCTGACTAAAGGCATATGGTTCCATGGGGAGTGAGATACATGAGAAAGTGAATCTGAGAAAAGAAGTAAATGCCAGCAAAAATAAGAGTTAATTTCGCCGGGCACGGTGGCTCAAGCCTGTAATCCCAGCACTTTGGGAGGCCGAGGCCGGTGGATCACGAGGTCAAGAGATCGAGACCATCCTGGTCAACATGGTGAAACCCCATCTCTACTAAAAATACAAAACGTTATCTGGGCATGGTGGCGCATGCCTGTAATCCCAGCTACTCAGGAGGCTGAGGCAGGAGAATTGCCTGAACCCAGGAGGCGGAGGTTGCGGTGAGCCGAGATCGCGCCATTGCACTCCAGCCTGGGTAACATGAGTGAAACTCCGTCTCAAAAAAAAAAAAAAAAAAAAAAAGAGTTAATATCTTCAAATCCCACAGTTATTGCCTTTAGAATATTCACACGTTTATGAAAGTAATTTCAACTTCACAACAGGAAAATACTATTGCTCACATATATTTATTTTTACTTTTAAATAATAATGAAGAAAATTCACAATATAACTAAAGATTATCAAAGGCATAATTTCTTATCCCTGTAATCTTTCCCGCATCATCTAATTTATAATAAATGCAGCACACAATCAAAACCAAATTATTCAAACTGTTATTTTAGAGTAAATGAACACCACTACCACCACTACCATGAACCAGCTGTGTAGCCAAGAGATTACAGCAGGCACTGTGGAGGTGGGTTTTGCACTGTTTACCAGGAGCTTGTTCTTAGACCAGTTACTTAATCCCTCGGTGCCTCAACTTCTCACCTGTACAACGGAAATAACATTAGAACCTATTCGACCTATTCATAGGTTGTCGGAAGGATTAACTTGTGTAAAGTATTTGGAGTAGTGCCCAGGTGGTAATGAGCATGAAAGAGGTATTTGGTTTTGTTGTTTGTTTGTTTTGAGACAGTGTCTTACTCTGTCACCAAGGCTGCAGTACAGTGGTGCAATCATAGCTCACTGCAGCCTTGACCTCCTAGGCACAAGTTATCCTACTACCTTAGCTTTCTTAGTTTGTATCGTATCGTATCGTATCGTGTCTGACAGGTCTGGCTCTGCTGCCCAGGCTGGAGTGCAGTGGTGCAATCTCAGCTCGCTGCAGCCTCAACTTCCTGGGCTCAAGTCATCCTCCCACCTCAGCCTCTCAAGTAGCTGGGACTATAGGCAGATACCACCATGCCCAGGTAATTTTTTGATTTTTTGTAGACATGGGGGTCTTACTATGCTGCCCAGGCTGGTCTTGAACTCCTGAGCTCAACTGATCCTCTGCCTCGACCTCCCAAAGCACTGGGATTATATGCATGAGCCACTCTGCATGATGCTAGGACTACATGTGTGTCTCATCACACATGGTTTTTTCTTTGTTGGTTTGTGTTGTAGAAATGGAGTCTCACTATGTTTCCCAAGTTGGTCTCAAACTCCTGGCTCAAGTGATCTGCCTACTTCAACATACCAAAGTGTTGGGATTACAGATGTGAGCCATTATGCCCAGCCTCATATTATCTTTATATACGTCACTATATTTTTTCCATGATTTGACGAGTTTTACCTTGAGATTTCTAACCATGCATTTGCATACCCAGTATTAACCCTCCATATTCTTTTCTACCAATCATGTATATTCCATTATTAAACTCTCTGCAGAAAGCCTAACACAACTCCACCCTTGGTCTATATAGTTCTTCAATATGCAACCTCTTGGTAAGTGAATAGTCTTGATTATCTTATTTTGCTCTGGCACAAATAAAGTACATACAATAAATTCATCCACAAGATTTAATCAGCATTTATTATTTGCTAGATATAAATAACCTCTGACGACTGGGATAATTTTTCTAAATTTAATACATAATCCTTGGATTTAAGATTTTGTTTTAAGAAGAAAAGATAAAAATAAGCACATACAGTTCAAAAGAATATGGGAAGAGGAATAAAATGAAAACCTTGTTATATAGAAAGATTTGGATGAATTGAAAGAAGAGTTAATGATTTCCTGTGGGGAATGTAATACAGTTGTACTCAGCTGCTTTTAGATAAGTTCTTTCCTTAATGTGGACTTGGAAAAAGAAGTTTCTTTTACTTCTTTGGTATTTTCAATTAACATTAATGCAATAATCTGACCGCAAAAGATGCACAGTAAAAATGTACTAAATTATTAATGGAAAAATTTAATTATCTTTAATAAAGAGAAGCTACTATTTTTAATGTTACTTGCTAAAGGAAATTTGACTAAATTCAAATAATTAGAATATTTACGTGATTTTAATGCATAAATGGTGCATGAAAATGGGTTACAAATTCTGTTCCTTTTTATGTTGATTACTAATTACTAATTAATCTTAACAGTCAACAAATTGATTTCAATCCATAGGCAAGGAGGAAATTAAATACAGTAAGTCTTAAAAAGTAAGTTATTGGCAAATATAGAACTTTACTGATTATTTAATAATGTGTCCTAAGTCACTACATAATTGCTTTGTTAGAAATATTAAATTTCTAGAAAATAGACATAGTGCTACCTGAATGCTAGTATAAACTCTAACACTTAAACAAATAATACAAATCTGAAATATAAGCAATGAATTTAGTAAGTATTTGTTGAATACATACTGTATATAAAGCAATGACTTACATATTCTGAATGATACAAAGATGAACACTATACATTGTTATTTTCATACAACTCATCAAACATACAAGAGATATGTATATATTTTCATGGACTGAGAGAAGAAGTAAATCTTAATTTTGTTTGGAGGTTTGGAGGTATGGGGAGGACTTTATTAAAGAAAAATTATTTGAATTATATTTTGAAGGAAGAGCAAAACAATCATATAGATATGTGTTTGCATGGATCATGAGGGAAGGGAGAAGGAAAGAAAGACCACAGTGTTACACAACTTTGGCCAATAGCAACTCACGTCCGTGTGAATGGCACCCACAAAAGTTTGCTGTCCACAGCCTGCATAGCTGTGTGCAGTAGCCCTCAGGGGAGAACTTTCTAGAATACTAAAAACATCCCCAAAAAATGGCTAAAAAATCATCAAAACATTGGAACTATGTGTTATGTTGAGTGTATCTGGAGAGCAAGTTGTAGGAATGCCAAGTAAGGAACACATTTGCAAAGTTATTTATCAGCTTAACAAGATAAGTAAACAGATAAAATGAAAGATTGGACTGGATAACACCTCAAGGACGCTATTATTTCTGGAATTCTATAAATCTAAATCCCTGCTACCAGACACAAGCAATCGCAATAAACCGGTAAATTTCTGTAGTGAAGAATAATATGATGTAAGAGACACACAGTGGCAGGGCTCTTACTTACATCCTTTAAGAATAATAAGCAAAGATACAAGTGAGGCCTTGAATATTTACCTGACAAATTAAAGAAGTTGCCTCCTTTGCTTGATTGGCATCTGCTCCCAATAGAAGCAAACATTCAACCATGATGCTGTTATTCTGATCACAGGCTCTCTCTAGCATCACATTTTTTAAGTCATCATCCATAGCTACTTTTGCAAAACACTTGCAACAGAGGTTTAGAAACTAAAAAAAAGTGGAAATGAGAATTAGAGTCAGCTAAATACGTAACATTTAGGATGCAAGTGAAAAACATTGTACCTGTTGATCCTTTTGTTCCACATTCGAAGACATCTGATGGAATATTACTAAGTCAAATGAATGATTCAGCAGCAGCTTGGAAAAAGATGCTGACAATTCGAGGATTGTTAAGATTGTCTGAAATCCCTGAAAGCATAAGAAAAAATAATAAAATAAGCAATTACAGGCAAAAAGAATAAATAGAATAAAGCAGAGAGAGTTTGTATATGAAACAATACCTAGAATGTTCATTTAACTATAGCTATACTGGGTTTGTGCTTTGAAGTATTTATCCTATAAATAAATACTCCCTCTTCTCTCGTGCCTAAGAAATACAGCAGACACAAAGAATAAAATGCTAGTTAATAAACCATGCTGTAGCAAAGCAGGAAAAAGAACTAATCCCTACAATTTGGTTTTCAAAGGTGCTTGTCTAAAGCTATAGCTATAGGATGAAATCCAGATATTAAACAGGATTAAAACGGTTGGATCAGCAGAGCTACACATCCAAATACATCAACAGAGTAAAAAAAATTATTATAATATTGCAGATTAAGTTCTCCAGAGAGTCTAGCACATCCCCCAACTTTTTGCGCTGTCTTCTGAAATGTTTACCTCAAAGAGACTAGTGTGAACTCCTACATTTCATTTATGTTGAGTGTATGTGAGAAGTGCTGAGGGCACTCTGAGGATTACATTCTAATAGTAAGTTATTTATAAAGAATATCATTACTTTTTAGAACCACCTTAAGCACATCCCCAGAATCTGTCCTCTTCACCTACATGTTTTAAAGAAAGATTGGGTTTTTTACCTTAGTATTATTTAGCTTGGGTACACCCACCAAAGATCATCTCAACTTCTTAATATTTTATTACCTCTAACACATACTAATAAAATTGGCCAGGTTCCATGGCTCATATCTGTAATCCCAGCACTCTGAGATTGCTTGAGCTCAGGAATTCGAGACCAGAATGCTCAATATGGCAAAATCTTGTTTCTATAAAAAATAACTTTAAAAATTAGCCATTTGTGCACCTGTAGTTCCAGCTACTTGGGAGACTGAGGTGGATCACTTGCACCCACCCAGGAGAGTGGGCCCAGTAGACAGAGGTTGCAGTGAACCGTGTTTGCTCCACTGCACTCTAGCCTGGGTGACAGAGTGAGACCCCATTTCAAAAAAAATAAATAAATTAAGTTAAATCATCTAAACATTAAAATTATTACTTCGAGCTCTTCAGATGCTGAGTTTCTACAAATACTAACATTTGATAAGCAAAAAAGTCTCGATTTTATGTGTGTCTGAGGGGCCAGGTGGTCCACCTGCCTCCGGAGCAGAGGTCTCTGAAAACGAATGAACGCTGCAGCAAAGCAGGTCACGGAAATATGCAGAGAGCACATCATTCAAATTAAAAACTTTTAACACTGAACTGAAGGCTGGGTGCCATGGCTCATGCCTATAATCCCAACACTTTGGGGGGCTGAGTTTAGCGAATCACTTGAGATCAGGAGTTCGAGACCATCCTAGCCAACATGACAAAACCCCGTCTCTGCTAAAAAATACAAACATTAGCCAGGCATGGTGGTGCACACCTGAGGTAGGAGAATTGCTTGAACCCAGAAGGCAGAGGTTGCCATGAGCCAAGATTGCACCACTGCACTCCAGCCTAGGCAACAGCGCGAGATCCTGTCTCAAAAAAACAAAACACTGAACTGGTTAAATAAAACATGTTGGCAGGCCAGATTTAGTTCATAGAGATTTTAAAATTTATGCCTAGATGAATTAATTCAGAGTAACTGGAAGTTCCATACCAGCACAAAATCCTCTCCTTTCCCTAGGATTACTTTTAATCAATTCTATCTTGGTTTAATCAGCGTAGCCTGAAGCACATTATGAAAAACAGTTATCAAACACATTGTTGTTAATAATCTAAGAATTTTGTATGTTCATAACTTTATAATTTTTTTAAAAAATTTACACACATTCTCTCATTTATTGATAATGACTGTGCAAAGATTAGAGACCAGATATTTTTATTCCTGGCCAATGCTGCCAGTTATAAAAATATTTTCTGAGTTGGCCGGGCACCATGGTTCACACCTGTAATCCCAGCACTTTGAGAGGCCGAGCAGGGCAGATCACTTGAGGTCAGGGAGTTCAAGACCAGCCTGGGATATATGGTGAAACATCATCTCTACAAAAAATACAAAATTAGCCAGGCCTGGGAGTGTATGCCTGTAGTCCAAACTACTCAGGAGGCTTAGGCATGAGAATCGCTTGAGCTCAGGAGGCTGAGGTTGTAATGAGCTGAGATCCATCACTACACTCTAGCCTGGGTAACAGAATGAGACCCTGTCTCAAAAAAAAAAAAAAAAATCTTAGTGTAGTTTATGAAAGTTGCAAACTCCATAACCAAGAAAGAAACTCTTTAAACTGTTTTGCTACAATTTAAAAAAAAAAAAAAAAAAAAAAGCAGAATTTATTTTTTAATCTCCCCTGAACTAACTCCAGGCCAATATCTTGAATTCCTTATAAAGATAGTTATTACATATCATGTTTTAAATTTTGCTTGATGAAAAATGTTAAAAACATTTTTCCCTGCTTGAAAAAAAATCAACAAGCAAAATCACTAGAAATAAGCAACCTACAGTAAAACCAGAGAGTGACAAACTTTGAAATATTTATAAATTCTATTTATCTAAAATCTAAGCAAATAAATCCAGCTAGCTGGGATTTCTTAGCACATTCTCTGAACTTTTACGGGAAAGATAAATGGTGAATAATCATGTTGATTTTAGAGACTTAACAATGAAACACTGGATCTTTAGAAATTAAATCCAACTTTCTTTGTCTTGTACAATTTAAGTACTACAAAATGACAAATGGTTTTCCTTTAACTAGAATACTCCTTTCATGCAAAGTGAGAATTATACAAACTGCTCCAAAAGTGAAATTTGTACAAGTTTCCAAGTTCTTTTCAAGATAACGCACATACTTTAGTCTGTACTTCGGCAACATCCTTAAATCGTTGTAAGCTGGAAACCAGAATTTTTGCTAGCAGATGTCCAGTTCCTAGGCATAAGTTCTTCTTTGTAATCAAGCATCCTATAAGACTTAAACCCAGACATTGAATTTCTAGAATTAAAAAGAAGAAAAAAGAATTGTTTTAAGTCTCAAAACTGAAGAAAAATACTTAAAGACATCTACTCACCAGCTAATGGCTCACAAAAAATCTATTCTAAATCCTGAGTTCAAACTATACTGACCTTGGTCATCTGGATACATCTGCAGTGTGTGAAGCACCGAATCCATAGCACCTTCCAGGGATAACATCTCTAATGCATCAGGAAAATGTGCAATAGAAGAAACTACTTTAAGTCCACATTTCTGAATCCCAGGATTTCCAATGAACTAAAATCAAAAGATTACCTGCTGTTAAAAATGAGATCTTAATGCTTACCTTAATTAGACCAGTTATAAATTGACAAAATATAAAGTAATTCAAATACAAATTAGTATCCTTGATTTTTTTCTATAATACTAATTATTTATATTCATTATGAAGAATAAGAGCTAGCATTTTAACAATTATTGAGAACTTGTTCTGTGCCAGGCATTGTGATAAATACTTTATAGGCATTTTTTTCATGATCTCATGAAATCCATACTGATATCATTCTCATTAGAAGATGAGTTTATTGAGGGTTAGAATGGTTGAGATATTTCCGAATGTCCACACAAACTATAAATTGCAGAGGTAAAACCAAACCAAATATGTTTGACCCCAAAGTCCACATACTTGACCGATAAAATGCAATGCTACCTCTCAACATAGAAAATATTGAGAATTACTCTTTACTGCAAGTGGTTTGCATGCCTTATTTCATCTATCTCCTCAAAAGCTTCATGTAACAGGTTTGCCAAACTTTAAAGATGCAGAAATAAGAGCTCAAGTCACAGAGCTAATAAGTATTGGGCCTAGGACTTGAATAAAAATGTATCCACCTTAAAAGCCCAGGATCTTAATTATGACATCATCCAACCTCTTTAATCTGAATTTCCTCCAGAAGATTCGACATTACGAAGGTATTTTAATAGAAGTCACTTCTTTGTCCAAGCCATAGTACTCATCAACGAAGAAAAAACTGCAACATACATCTAACTCTTTTTTTTTTTTTTTTTTTTTTGAGACAGAGTCCCATTCTGTCACCCAGACTGGAGTACAGTGGCATAATCTCTGCTCACTGTAACCTCCGCCTGCCAGGTTCAAGCAATTCTGCTGCCTCAGCCTCCTGAGTAGCTGGGATTACAGGCAAGCACCACCATGCCCGGCAAATTTTTGTATTTTTAGTAGAGACAGGGTTTTGCCATGTTGGTCAGGCTGGTCTCAAACTCCTGACCTCATGATCCGCTTGCCTTGGCCTCCCAAAGTGCTGGGACTACAGGCATGAGCCACTGCACCCAGCTGCATCTAACTCTCATTCTGATCATCTCTGCCTTTTCACTCACAAGCAATATACTCCAAACATCTACCTTAATGTGATGCCCAACTCATAGCTTTTCTTTCAAAAATTATAATGCCATCCTTCTCTAGATGATATTTTGCAGAAACTAGTTTCACAATACCTCTGCTCCAAAGATGTGATGGCCTCCACCACAGATAATCCATAGAGCTGAAATAGCTTCAAGTCAGACATCTTTGACCAAATTCTTCCGCCTTCCAAGCTTCCTCATTTCTCTCCTCTCAGTGATCAAATTTCTATCCCTTTCTCACTCTAGTCCCCTAATACTTCTCAATTATCTTTATTCTGTATCTTTTTCATAGAGGCTGAGGAGAAGCATCAGTTTCTCACACTGTGTTTTTCTACCTCACACTTTTAATTGCTCAGCTTGGACATCACTTCATGTATCACTTTAATAAGACATTGTCCCCCTTGACATTTTTTTTCCTGTCAATATTTCCATCTTACCAACACCCTGAGTAGTAAAAGCACATCAGCTTGGGGACCAATTAAATTTGGGTTTAAAGTCTGTGAATCTGAAAACTGTTAAATAAATCTAAGAACCATTAATGAATGAAGTAAAAATTACTCAGTTAGACAATTACTACTCAGAAGTGGTAAGTAAAAGGTGGTATTTTTATTCAAGAACTATAAAGAAATTCAAAGTTGTACAAAGTGAAATGGGAAGGATGGTTTCATGTGTGTCTCAGCTTCCTCATTTCTAAAACAATTCTAATAATGCAGGGTTGTTTGTTATAAGGACGAAATGAAATATCTCTGTCTACAGAATAAACCTTGAGATAGTAATGATCACAGGTCAGGCCTTGAGCTAAGCACTGTCCTCAGAGATGAAAATCTCAAGAGTTCATGTGAGATATTCCCTTCATCGGCCCTCTCTTTCATCAAGCTACCACTTTTCTTCTATTTCTAAATAAAAGAGGAGTAGACTTATTAGTAGAAAAGTCTACTCCCACTACCTCCACATTCGCTCTACCCTTTAATTTCACATAATCAGACTTCTTTTCTAAGCACTCTGAATTAAAACCATTCAAAGAAAAAAGTCCAGTAACAACTTAATTGGTGCTTTTCATCCCTTAATTTCCATGACATTGTATTCCCCTAATTATTCTCAATCTTTAAAACCATTCCTTTACCCACGTCTTTTACAATCTCTTCTTTCACCTCCACATCTTGTCCAAAGTTCTTTTTTTTTCTTCTACTCATGGGTGGGAATTTATACACTAATATAACTTCAAGTCATAATAACAATAGCAACGACCACAATAACAATACCAAAATCTGTGTAGTAGATTTTGGTATTGTTATTGAATGTCTTGCTCTGTGCCAGACATTCTTTTAAGTACTTCATATGTATTCACCTACTTAATCCTCCCAAAACCTTTATGATGTAGACACACTCCTGTCCTGAAGTACAGATGAAAAAAATCATGACACAGAGACCTGTGAGCACACAAGACAAAGCACAAGTTTAAGCTTTCTCAAGTTCTAAGCCCAGATTTCTTTTTGCTTGATGCCAGTATTTTAAACTCAGAATTTCAAGGCCAAAAGTTTAGTATCTTCTACCAAAAAAGTCAGAATGTCATTCTGAACTTTCTGCTTGATTAATAGTACCAGTATGCCTGTTTGGCAGGCAAGGCCTGCTTCACAGGTGTGTATTTGTACAATCATACACGGCTTCATGCTCAGAGAGCACTTGCTTCAATGCCCTGTTGTCACTCTTGTAAAATTCTTAACACTTGTCAAACAAGGAATACACCCTTTCCATTTTATACTAGACACTGAAAATTATGGATCCACTTCTACTCCCAAGCTCAAAGTGCATCATAGGTTTATTTTTATGCTAAAATTGTATCAAATTGATATTTACAAAGCACCTGTCTTTGTCCTTAATATCTCTACATCTAACAAGTTTCTACTTAGTTACTGGTCCTTTTACCTGGAACTCCCCTAGGTTCTAACCAGTTCAGTCCAGGTCAGTGATAACTAATGACCTGCAACAGATAATCTCTGATTTGTCTATGCAGAAAAAGAATTCAGAGTATCACATGATAACATGTGATGGTGAACTAATAAACTGATAATTTTTAAATATGAGCATTTGATTTTTAATAGCTAAGTAAATGTTTAAAAATTAACATGTATATATACACATATGTATTATATAGGGATAAATACCATGATATTTACAAGCCTACAATAGAATTTCCTTCACTTATCTAACGTTCCATCTTGAAACAGTAATTTATTGCATTGGTGCTCAAATAGGGATTAAAATCAATTTACTAGTGTCTACTTAAGGGGTGTTTTTCAAGTGAAACTCTGGAGATGCCAACAGAAAAATGGCAGCACCCTACCACCTATGCTTTACTACTCTCCAATGTTTTTTTTCAGAGCATCCATAAACACTGAAATGGTGAGGCTAGCCAGCTCAATGGAAAGACATCTAGCTGGCCTCTTTCCTAGCCACAAGCTAAGTAGATTAGCCAAAGAAAAGAAAACAGACTCACATTCCCAGATAATTTGTGTTTTGTTTTCTCCCTTTATCCTTTTTCTCTTATAAATCTCGTCTTTGATTTTGATAAATAAGATAAATGTGTGGAATGCTGTCCCTTGTCTATGAGTAAATGGCATATTGATAAATATTGGTCTCTGGATTAGTCTTTGAAAAATTGAAAGATTAAGACAAAGCACATCCAGCATCATATGACCAACAGCCCCAAAGAAGAGAGCTAAAATAATGAAAGAGAAAAATATAGATATTTAGGCTGTACACGGTAGTCCACACTTGTAACCTCAGCACTTTGGGAGGTCAAAACAGGATTGCTTGAGGCAAGGAGTTTGAGACCAGCCTGGGCAACATAATGAGACCCTGTCTCTATTTCTGTATTAAAAATAATAAGAAGAATATCCAGTTCTGCTTCCAAACTCAAAATGCACCATAGGCTTATTTTCATTTTAAAATTATATCAAATTGATATTTATAAAGCATCTACCTTTGTTCTTAATATCTTTACCATATATATGTAAATATATATGTGTGTGTGTATGTTTATATGTATATGAAGATCCAATTCAACAAAACTTTCCTGGAAAAAAAAATTGAATGTATGCTAGAATGAGGATATCATATCCCAGGACTAACTAACATTGACATATACACTAATAAAGTGGCTGGATTTCAAGAGAAAAATGCTTTCGGCAGCCAGGCAAAAATATCAAAGCACTTAAAAGTAAGAAACAAATGAAGCTGGCCTCAGACTTCTCCATTAAGACATTCGGTACTAGAACACAGTGAAATGCCTACCAATACCTCAAGGGGGGAAAAAACAACAACAAAAAACAGTATTTTACAAACAACAAAACTTTTTTTTTAAGAGTCTAAACGTAAAAGCAAAAACAATAAGAACAAAATATAAACAATAAAATATTCAGGTAATTAAACTTTTTAAAGAAATTTAGACAACCAAAAGATGAACAGAAAAACAGTGACAGAAGGACTTGAGATGAAGACTGATTTCAAATAACTGCAGGAATAAGATAAACACAAACTTAGGAAGTATAGTTACAAAGCTGAATATAAATATTATCTACCCTATCAATGTGGAGTTAATTTACTGAACAAAAGTAGGTGGGAAAACAGGAGATAGTGAAAGTGTAAATGCTCTGATTTCCTCATCTTTTATAGCCAGGGGACAAAAGATACTTTCAAATGTAATAGTAATAACATTAACATTTATTGAGTGCGTTCTATGTGCCAAGGGTTGTACTGATACTTTTGCATGAATTATTTTATAAAATCTGCAACAACTTTAAGTAAAAAATCAGTTATTATCTCCATTTTATACATAATAAAACCAATACATTAAGTACTTGTCCAGGGTGCATAGTCTGTAAGTAGTACAGTCAGATTGAAATTCAGATATCCTAACTCCAGAAACCACAAACTATTAGAAAATTTTATATAGCTAACGCTATTTTTTTTAAAAAAAAGCAAACATATAATTTGCTATAATTGGGTGATCAAAGAGAGGGAGAGGACATAAAGAGTTGGAAATATACTAATTTCATCCAAAAGTGTATATAATGTGTCAACATACAGGAAGGAAAAAATGAATACCGGGGGAATACATTCATACACATAGAAAATTGAAGATATTTCCATAGCAGCACATTAAGAATCTCACCTCATTGTTTTTTAATATTGACATGGGATGATATAATTTGGAAACTGTATAATTTATCTGATTAGTCTCTATTGATGGGTATCGTATGTCAGGAAAGATTACATTAAGCAGCAATAACAATCTCAAAATTTTATAGGTTGAAAAAATACTAAGTTCCATTATTGCTCATGCTACATATGTGTTACAGGTCAGGAGGGGACTCTGCTTGTTGCAGTCTCTCAGGGACCTCTACTGATGGAGCAATTACTGTCTCAAACACTGCAGGGCGTCATACCTGAGAGAGTATTCTGTAAGATGACTCACCAGCTATTTCCTCCATTTACAACTCCCTGACCAAAACTAGTCACGTTTCAACCTAACTACTAAATACTCTGCCAGAATCACCAGAAGGTGGAGAACTAAAAATATTTGGCAAACGGCATGAACGATTACCATGTAAGCATTTAGTTTGTTGCCACATTTTTAATTACGAATCATGCCACAGTGAATATTCATGTCTAATAATCTTTTTGTACATGAGCAAGTATATCTACATTAAAAATTCTTAGAATAGAATTGCTGATCCGAAAATACGTGCATTTTAGTTTTGATAGATATTACCAAATTTCCCTCCAACAAGGTGCTTCACTATAATTTGATAATAACAATTATAGTTGAAACTTTTAATATGTATATACACCAATTTCATTACAGATTTTAAATCTCATCCATCTGTAATTTGTTTTGGCAAAAGGAGTAAGATAAATATTCAGCTTCCTTTGCTTTCCCCAAATGGCTGCAGAATTAGTTATTCTAACACAAGTAATTGAGTAACCCATTTTCCTCCCAGTTGTTGAGGAATATCATAACATTGCACATTTTTATTTGAGTCTATTTCCTGAGCCACCATCATGTGGCACTGATCTGTCTCCTCTGGTGCCAGTATCACACCGTTATAATTATTAAAATTGTATACATTTGATTATCTTTTGGAGTTAGGCCATAAGAATTAACACTCTTTTAAAAAATTCTCCTGATTACTCACACATATTAATTTTTTCATGCAAATTTTACACTAGCTTACTTGGTTCCAGAAAATACTATTGTTATTTTTAATAAGGGTTCATAAACATACATCAATTTTCATTGAAAAAACTTTAGTCTTTTTTATCAAAAAAGATGTATCTTTTCATATATTCAACTCTTCTGCCCCTAAGCTTCATAGGTTTCTGTAAATTCATCCTGTAAACCTTTAAATTTTACTTATATGCAATTCTTTTTCTTGTTGTTATTGTTGTTGCTTTTACAGATGAGCTCTTCTTTTGACTACATATTATTTAAAACTGAAATAAGTGTATTCAATATTAAAGCTGAGTATATTTCGCTTCAAGGTTTTTGTGAAGCTCACAAGTTCTTTGATTGGTGTCCATTTCATCAGAAGATTGGTTTTACTTTACTGGATTTCCTGACTGAAGAGAACAGGAGTGTCACCGCACATAAAACACAGATGAAGCCAAAATGTGCAGAGACTATTTTCTGCTTTGCTCTGTGGAAGCAAAACTGGACAAATAGATCTCTCTGGAACAGGTGACAAAGACTTCATCGTGGAAAAGCTAAAAGGATCAGGCATAAATGGAACATCACTGCTCCAGATAGGAATTTTAACATCAGCTTGAATTTTATTGCACTTTTATGTATATAAACATGACTTTGCTTTCATAAATACTCTTCTTAGTCTCTGCTTTATAAATCAGAGTTGAATCTCAAGTTCTACCTTATTTGGAACTCTGCTCTCCAAGTTTAGATGTTTTAAAATGCAATTCACTTTATTGTGTCTGCAATTTTGGGCCTAAACCTCTAATGCTTTGTGATTGTTATTCAGAGTAAGACATGGAATCACAGAATTCTGGAGCTACAGTAATCACTCTCATCTTTTAGAGCCATTTTCCTCAGCCATGGTGAAGGATTAGGGGAATTACACCAGAGAGGTTTTTGAAATAAAATATTGTCACTTATGTTTCCCCATGACCTTAACTCCCCACCCCTAATGGTAATTAGCGCTTAGTGAGAAGCTGGGCATCATTACTGAAGTACTGGCATGGGGGGAAAAAGCAGTGCTCAACCGTTTCTTCTCAGATGGAGCAAAGTGATTTTCTCCACATGACAGCACTTACCTGCTCTCTTGGCTCCAGACTCCTGACGTTACATCTCACTTAGGCTTCTCTAATAACTTTAGAGAAGGTTAGCGAACTGGAACCAGTTGTCTATACGGCTTTACTGGTGGCTCTTCCACTTTTGACCAATACTAACGATGAATAAAATTAATTGTTCTCGCCTCTATGTACTTAGACTATGTTCACAATGCCAGCATCCCTCCTTAGTGCTCCTGTAGAACAACTGGTTTTATGCACAGTTGTTATTCCTTTCACAATGAGGTAGGATAGGTATTAAAAGGAAGTAACCATGTCCTTGGGATGCAGCAACTGTCGCAATCTTACCGTCAACACAGTAAGTTTCAGCTTTCACACTGTAGTCCAGCTCATTCAAGCAAAGCTATCTCCAGCAGAAAATTGCCCCTGTAGGGAGCATGCACATTTTGATTTTACCTGTCCTTAGATTGACCCTTTGCTCATTACAATAGTAAAACACACGCCCCTGGGTGGAGATTTCAGATAGGAATGAGACATGCGATGTCTGAACAAGCATGTACAGCTACTGCACACGTGCATGCAGAGGACCACCCAGAATATGCTTACTAGTAATACCTTTTTCCACCCCGCTTATGAAAAATCATGTACGACTCCCTGAAAGCGAGTCTTCCTAGTGCCAGTCTTTGCTGTCTCATCCTTATTAACAAGCCTGCCCTGAATTCTCTCTGTCAGGGTATATTGTCTATTTCTCACTTAACTTGCAAAATATTCTTTTTCTTTTGCAATAAATTACTTGATGCTGCATGTCCTTTGCTGCGTGTCTCTTGTTTAAAGAAAAGAACAGAGGCTCCAAAATCGCCATCAACAACCAGATTATGAGATTCAGGAGAGGAGTACAAAGCATATGTATTTACCTTCTTAATGCCTAACCCCTTCTTTCAATATACTTATTTTCAGCAAATATTTCTCAAGTTAAATTTAACCCATTATAACATATATTCTTGATATACTCGAGGATTGTATTAAAGTTTGAGTATAAATGACTCAAATATATTACAGGCAGTGAGTGACATTATAAAGTTCAATTTAAATTGATTTTTTAAGGGATGTCTCTCTGGAGGACACTTTAATTAATTTATGACATTTATAACAGTATATCAAATCACAAGGAATCATTTCCATTAATTACCTTAAATATTCTCCTTCTTTTATAAAAAACGTTCACACTAATCATTATGTTTTTATTCTTTTAATAAAGAACCAATTCATCTTATGCTAAATTTCCAAAACTTCTTAATTCCACCAATACTTTTGGCATTACACAATTTAAATGTAATTTCCCTCTTTTCCCTTTTTCATACTTAGTATGATTTACTGATACTTTAATTATAATGTAGGAACACAGATATGTCAATGCTAAAAAATGGAAACAATCTATACCAAATCATTCCAGAGGTTATCTCTCAGGAGATGTGAATGAAAATGTGGCCAGGTGTGGTGGCTCATGCTTGTAATCCCAGCACTTTGAGGGGCCAAAGTGGGGGATCACCTGAGGTTGGGAGTTCTAGACCAGCCTGACTAACATGGTGAAACCCCATCTCTATTAAAAAACAAAAATTAGCTGGGCATGGTGACGCATGTCTGTAATCCCAGCTGCTCCAGAGGCCGATGCAGAAGAACTGCTTAAACCAGGAGACGGAGGTTGCAGTAAGCAAAGATCACATCACTGCACTCTCCAAAGCCTAAGCCTCAGAGAGGGACGAGTGGTGGAGAGGGGAAGAAAAAAACAGGAAAGGAAAGGAAGAAAAGAAAAGAAAAAGAAAAGGAGTACAGGGAATCAAAGAAGGATTTACTGTTATCCCTGATACGTCCTCATGGTCTAAACCATACGCCGTGAGACCAGAAAAGAAAGACAAGTACCTGGAGAGGGCAGACAGAGAAAACAGCAGCCACAGTATCTGGCATGGCTCATGAGGTCTAGCTGCATATCTGGCTCTTTGGTTCTCTTTCTGGTTGAGCAAACTAGAGTGGATTTAAGTTACTGGCAAGCAAAAGAATCTTGCCTATATCTGTAATTGATAATACACTTGGCTGGAATTGACTTAGTAAGTATCTTTTCACTTCCCACATCCCTATTTTCCTCTTATGTCTCTAACCACATGACTTCATCCTGCCATAGTAAATGGAGGACAGAAAATTTAGGCTGAAAAGGCACCCCCAGTTCTTCAAATTTAATATTTTAGTTAACAGTAGACAGAAAACTTATATTCAACATACCCTGTTCAAAGCTGCTAGGACCAGTTTGTGAATATCATTCTTGAAACATTGTTTTTTCACCATATTTAGCTTATGATGAGCGTCTGTATCCTCCCTGGATTCTTCTGTCATGCCTAAATGCAAAGAAAAATAAACAACGATTCTTACAAACATTTGAGTTGAAGAGATTGTTACTTTTTAGAAATTGTCACAATTAATCTCACAATATATGTGTTGTACTTTTTTCTAGTACATGTTTTCTTATCAAATAAATAACCAGAAATTTTAAGGAATCTACAAAAATCATTCATCATCGAATATAAAATAAATACAATGTGTATGGATGCTTAATGAATTTGAGGCAGCAAACAATTATAATGGTGAAGAAATTTTCTGTAGCAAACAATCACTTTTTTGTGTGAGTAGGCTGTGCTTTAAGATGCTGGAGGATTTTTATGCAACAATGGACAAGTTAAGAAAAGCTCAAAGTTTGGACTAAAAAATAAAAAGGTCAGATATGAAATGTAGGCAAAAGAGAGCTGCTGGAATAATCATGGAAAAAAAATAAGATTTGAGTTTCAGTATTAAGCTTGTAGAGAACATGTCATTTTTTAGAAGGCTATACAAGGCATTGTTATTTAATGAAAACATACTCCTTATTAAGTTACATTGTAGCTGAACTATGCTAAAATAAAAACACAAGTCAAAAATGTGGTACTATAACATATAAGTAAAATTATTATAAATGAATATTTTCCAAATCTAAGACTATACAAATAACTATTAATAAATAATCATTTATAATCTTCCACTTTAATAATCTGCATTAATACAAACTATAAGCTGGCTACAACTAGCTTTTCATTTATTTAAGAAGAATCTGAGTTCCAATTACATGCCAAGGATTTTGCTAAATGCTGGGAATACTATGGTAAAGAAGGAAGCCTTGATTCCCACCTGACTGCAACTTTCAGTCCTTATTTTAAAATGTATTCAGAGAGCTTCTGACATTCACTGCAGCAGTGTGGTCTGGGGTAAGTCCCTTAAACTCTGTGTATCATTTCCAGTGACTAAAACCACACTAACTTCTAAGGCTGCCTATTACGCCTTAAGAAGATGTGACCACTAAAACTAGGCCTGTCTGAGTAGTAAAAACATCATGTTATATGTAATGAGTCTTATTAAATATCATCCTTAAATTAAGACCAAATGAACATTCCTATAAATTTCACCTCCAGTCTTTGTTCTATCATGTAAGGTCCTACTATTCAAATGGATATAATTTCCTTTCTACATAATAATCTTTCAGGTTTTGTGGACTGTAAACTTTTTTGAGAGCAGTATCCATAACCTCATCATCTCCCCAGACCTTAAGGATTCTAGACATAGTGCTTTAAATACAACAGTTGTTCAAGACAAGTTTGTTGCACAAATATTTTAAAATGCCTACTCTGGAGTCAGCCTGCATAAGCTGAAAATCTGGTGCTGTTATATCAGGTCTGACCTTAAAATCTGTATAATTCTATGCCTCACTCATCTGTATATAACAAGAAAAAAAAAAAGTAATATCTGCCTCATGGGAGAATTAAAAGAGTGAATATACTTAAACCACTTCAAAAATGCCTAATACTTTTTAAGTCCTCCATATTGTTTGGCATTATTACTGCTACTGGTTATAAAGAGTAGATTTTAACAGAGTTTCATATCTCCTTGAGTCATCTCTCCTTCAAATAAAACAATCTCAGTTCCTCTTCCTGCTCTTTTTGATGTGTTTTTATATCCCTAATCACTCTCCTCTATACACTTCCCAATTTGCCCATACCCCTTCTTAAATCATTTCACATTATTTCCTCTAAAACTAACAGTAAATCAAACAACAAGTCAAATGATACTTTATTAAAGTAACTGGGTCTTTATTACTATTTTCTTAAAGCAACCAGCTCTAGTACTATACATTTCTCTTCCACCTTATAACAACTTGTTATAAAGTTGTCATCTGTATGACATCAAATATAACAAGTTGTTATAAAGTGGAAGAGAAAATGTACAGTACTAGAGCTGGTTGCTTTAAGAAAATAGTAACAACTTGTTATAAAGTGGAAGAGAAAATGTACAGTTATAAACAAGTGAACAACTTGTATAAACAAGTTAACAACTTGTTATAAAGTGGAAGAGAAAATGTACAGTACTAGAAGGAAAGAAACTTAAGTTACATACACTAGATGAAATACACAATCCTTAATTGGACACTAAATTATTCACATTGGCCATATGTACATCTTTGTCACTACAATAACTGAACATAATCTAGTTAATAAATGAATACTTATACATCTAGATATCTTATAAGAATCTCAACATGTTCAAACCAGAATGATATTCAACCTCAAAACTACTGGAGTATTGCTACTATAGTTACTTGTTGATACCCAGAATGATATAGTACTGCACGGCATGGTACATTATGGTAGGGTACAGTACAGTATGGTTTAATATGGTATATAGTACAGTAGCATAGAGTAAATGGTTAAGGCTTTACCTATTAGAAGAAGGTAGTTACATACTGATCTGTTCATAAAATGTGTTTCTTAGTATGTATTTTTTTACATAAACTATAGTCCTAGAGGGATTATTTTCAAGGGCACCCATAGTACATCTGATTGATTGTTGACTAACAATTTTGCTTCAGGGTCAATTTCAGAACAATAAAAGAAAAGAAATACTGTATTCAAAATTTGCTTTTGAACTAAAATAATATTATTTTATTAACTAACGGATAAGGTTTTGAAGTGTCCTTTGGTTATCTTTAAAACTCAAAATCTCCCTCAAAAGAGTAAGGCTGTCAACTTTAATGATAATCAAAGACATTTTTATTGTTTTTAAGTATAATCTACAAATAATATTCAACAAAATATACAATAATATTTTAAGCAAAATTACATCTGTTAAATTATGTTTCAAAACTAAGCTGAAACTATGAATAGGGCATCTCATGATTCCAATTTTAAAATACTGATTGAATAGCCACCAGAGGACTGGGAAAAAATGACTGAAGAAAGCTCTGTCCTTGAAAAAACTTCCATTAGAGTAATACTCTTATACAGAGAAACATGAAATATCTATATAACTACAGAAAATGATAGGTTTAGGAGGATTTCATTTTAAAAGAACAAAGCAAAAATGACTTCAAAAGATTGGGCACTTCACAGAACAAAGTATCATTCCTCATATTTAGGGATCATGATGTTACATCAAACAGAGCTCCGAACCCTCTGTGAAATTTGCCCTCTCATCTGTTTCCATTGCAGGGCCCCTTCAGAGTGTCTCATTTGAGTACCGCTGACCTCCAACTCCCAACCCAATCTGCTTGTATCTAGTCTCTCTCCCTGTCTATCATCCTCTTCACCACAATGATATTGTCTTTAGTCGCAAATCTAGGTGTGACACTATAATGTGCAAACACTTTTAATCAACTTGGATTGACATCCATTTTTAAAAAGCAGAGATTTTTCAACACTGCATTCAAGGCCCTCTTCTTTGGGCCTCAGCCTGTCCTCCCACACTCATCCCCAAGCGCTCATCTCCTTACCCTCTATGCCTCACTCACCCCCGGCCATGTGCACTTTCTTCTGCTTGAAATGTCCTCCTTAGCCTTTCTACCAGGCCAGCTCTATTCACCCTTCCACGTCAAATATCACAATCTCTGTCCTACTACTTTGAAGAAATCATTTGTGCCTCTATCAATGGTCTCAAAGCCTTTTATACATGTATCTATCATGGCCCCCTCACACTGCCTGTTAATTAACTATTTACATGTCCATCTACTTCTAAGCTCCTACAATAGTAACATTGTGCTTTTTTTCTAATTCATCTTTCAAAGCTTAACAGCATCACAGTGTTTAGAACATAAGAAGAATTTAATAAATTTGTTGAATGAATAGAGACATAGGTGTTCTAAAGGGGCTTTGGAGAACAAATAAGATGATAGATGTAAGAGTTAAAGGTGGGTGGAAGGTGGAAGCCATTGAGGTGAATGAGTACAAGCCACATGGTTATATTGGAAAAAGATTAATTCAATCACAAAGTAAAAAAAAAAAGAATGGAAATTAAGCAAAAGAACAGGTATGAAATTTAGCTAATAGTGTAATTCAAACAAGAGAAAAAATGCTTGAACTCAGGTCATGGCAACAAAAAAAGTTATCAGAGATGAACACCCTCCTTAGAAAATGTGGCACATATACACCATGGAATACAATGCAGCCATAAAAAAGGATGAGTTCATGTCCTTTGCAGGGACATGGATGACGCTGGAAACCATATTCTCAGCAAACTGACACAGGAACAAAAAACCAAACACTACAAGTTCTCACTCATAAGTGGGTGTTAAACAATGAGAACATATGGACACAGGGAGGGGAACATCACAAACAGGGGCCTGTCAGGCGGTGGGGGGATAGCAGGGCATGGGGGGATTGGAGAGGGATAGCATTAGGAGAAATACTTAACGTAGATGATGGGGGGCTGGATGCAGCAATCCACCATGGCACGTGTATATACCTATGTAACAAGCCTGCACATTCTGCACATGTACCACAGAACTGAAAGTATAATTAAAAAATAAAAATAAATAAAAGCTCTGTATTTTACACTGTAGTTATTTTTGCATAAATAAATTACTGAATTTCATATTGTTTTCTTATAAAAATTAATCTAAGTGACTCTTCCGCATCATCATGTAACCTCTATTTTTGTTTTCGGTTTAACAGAAAGATTTGCATTTAGTCAACAGAAAATTGTCTTTTAATATTTGCATAGAAAGTTGTTATTTCATGCAGAGTCAAGAATCCATTTAAATTATTACCTCTCCCCATAATCAACTATGTAACTTACCTGGCACTATAAAATGTAAAATAGCTCGAAGCGCCTCCAGCTGCACTGGTAATGATGTCTCATGACTTTTCATAACTGTTATTATTTTGGGGACCACTGCTGCCATTGTATCCAGGGAAACATTGCTGGGGATATAAAATTGGCATGTTTACTGAAAGACCAGTCTGATTCAATGGTATAAAAACCAAACTGAAATAAGTGTAGGACAGAACCAATATATTTTATCAGGAAAGGCTATATGACAATGCATTGAAATCAGTCATATAAGCATAGATAATTCTAATTGTCTAAATTTTGAACTCATAAAATAGAATTCATAGTAACCTGGGAATTATTTAGTTTAATAAAACTTACAACATCCTTCTGACCTAGGATGGAATAATGGCAACAATCCCAGCAGGCAGGTGTTATTATCCCCATTTTCTGGATGAAGAACTTAGGCAGACAGAAGTTAAATATTCAGGTCTTATCACTAGAAAGTCACAAAGACAAGGCTGGGCCCCAACTTGTCTGATTCCAAGACAAGGCCTCTTTACATCACAGTAACCTTCCATATTAACATTGCTGGACTTCTTACATGGTATTTTTAGTTTGTTTTACAGTCTTGGTTTCTCTGAGGTATTTAAGCTATTCTTTCTTTTACACATGAGCAAGTGTCACTTGACTAGACTGCAGTAGGTGCCATGAACTTTAATACAGGCAATCCTTGATTTGCTTGCTAACTGAAACTTGTGCATATCAGAGCCATGTTCTCACTTGGCATGGCTCTGTGGATGCTAAGATATATTCCTTCTTTTCCACCTTAAAGTCCCAATTTAAACACATCCCTCCATTGGAGCCTCCCCTTCTTGAGTAACCCCAGCTGGGTCCACTTTACTCTTACCATTGTGTCTTTTACTGCCACTGCATTCTCAGACTATATTATAATAACCTATTTACATATCAGTCCCTCAACTAACATGAGTTCTGTAGGGGCAGACAAGTTATCAGAGCCAATGTGGAAAACCCAGGACTACAACTGTACACATTTTACTTATAAGAAAGCAGCCAGAAACATTAAATGGCTTGCCCAGAATCTACAAAAACCTAAACCTCGAGTTTATTCCACTGTATTTTGCCTCATTTGTAAAGGTTTGCACACTTCCGATACCATTAAAATCAATATTTAAGATAAACTTTTCATCTCAGTGTTCAAACACAACATTTAAATAAGAGAAATAAAGCTTACAGAGATATATAAACATAAACAGATTATCTAGACTGATGTTAAAAAGTGTAACCCTATTTCTTACAAGTCTGCAGTTATGCTACATTTTATGCTACATTATATGCACTTCATTTATTCACATTTAATAATAGTATAACAACAATAGATATAACCTGTTGAGTGCTTAAAATACAGCAGGAATTATCCTAATCCTTTCATAAAATTAATTTATTTGATCCTTACAGTCTAAGCTTACAACTTTCAAGGTTGTCATTATCACTCCTCTTTACCAATGAGGAGTGTGAAGTTTTAGAGATGAAACAGTTGGCTCAAATTAGTGGCAAAGCCAGGAACATAATTAGTTTTTACTGCAACTTCTGGGCCAATTATATTTTTTTACACATGAGAGTTTCCTATATAGCCTCTTTTTGTTTGAAATTTACTCAGACAAGGCCAAATTTACATCACATTATTTGGCTTAAAATGCATAAAGGCACTGAGCCTATTCTACAGCAGGAACCTTCTGCATATTATTCATTTTTAGTCTTTTAAACAGGTTTTTTTTTAAGTCACAAGTTCTGCCCCCTCCTACCACCCTTTAACCCCCCTCATCCCACCCTGCCCCACCACCATCCACACATAGATAAAAGGATCTGGTCTCTGTAGTGCCATTAACCAGCAGCTATATAATCTTAACATCTCTGCACTTGCACTAGATATAGTCAAAATTTTCCCTATCTAAGGACTGGGAGCAAAAAGAGAAGACAAAGTTAATTCAAATGAAGGAATAATAAAAAACAACGCATTTGTTGTGGAAGAGCAACAATTAGAAGCCATATGCCGATTTTATCTTTTATAACCTTCACACACATAATAATCAGAAAACCTGCCGCACACTATGTGCTATACAATTATCACTTTTCAAAACACAGCCAACACCAAGCATCAGGTACAAAAGCAAACCTTCAACAATCTTTCTACAAGATTTGTTTCTACAATCTTGCCATTCCTTTCAGTGTTCAGATAAAGTAAGTCTATGATAATAGTGGCATCAGATTACATTGCAAAATGCTTCAATTTTCAACTGTCTTATGTTTTTCTTTTCATTATTAGAAATATGCTTAAAATATGGATATTCTACCTGGCTCGATATGATATATTCTGCACAAGTTAATGAATCTGTATTACCTTCCTTCAAAAAGATGATTTAGCATTTTACAGCCACTTTCAGCCACTTCAGGAGAATGTATATGCTTCTGCATTGACTCCAAAACATTCAAGTATATTCCTTTCGACAACAGGATCTTTCTGAAATTAACTGAGAGATTTTAAAAATGTTACTCACAGAGATGAAAGCATATTTACATAATTTTACCATAAGATTTAGAATATTAATATAGTCCCAATTCACAGGAAAGCATACACATAATTTATAGTTCATTGATAGCTTAAAGATAATTCATGCATCTTTCTTTAAAACACACGTCATTTCCAATTTTTTAGCATTTATTAACCGTTTGTTGAGGTTTTGGTTTTAATATTTTTATTCATAGAGTAGATGGTTTTAATGTAAACAGCATGTCTCTGTCCATTTTGAAAGGAGTGTTTTTGCAGGAAAAAAAATGTATTTAAACAATGATCTCCAAAATAAGAATGAAAGTTAAATTTTATTTCAATACTTAAAACAAGTACACAAATAACTGCACTTCTATAGAGGTAAGACTAGCCAGATATGCTAGACACCACACCGGTGGCCTGGGAATAGGTTACAAGCATGTGGAGATATTGACCATTCACTCAGCTTTCTGGGAGTGTGAGGAACGAAGGGGCTGCAACAGGCTTGGTTGCTTTCCGCCTTCAGCTGCTTTGTCCATTTATCCCAGTGGATTTTATAAACATTATCATTTTTATATATGTCATCATAGTCAAAGGAATAGAAAGCATTTAATAGAACATAAGTAATTACAGTTATTTTCACAAAGTAATGCCAAAGTCTAGGAAACAGATAGCTACCCTTTACAACTGGTATTTCATCATTTGTGGAAAGTAACTATATTCCAGCAAAAATGATTAAGGAATAATTTTCTTCTTTTTTTTTTTTTTTTTTTTTGTTGTTGTTGTTTCTTTTTGTGATAGCATCTCTCTCTGTTGTCAAGGCTGGAGTGAAGTAGCGTGATCATAGCTCACTGCAGCCTTAACCTCCTGGCCTCAAGTGATCCTCCTGTGTTAGCCTCCAAGTAGCAGGGAATACAAGTGTGGTACCATGCCTGGCTAATTTTTAAAAAATATTTTGTAGGGATCTTACTATGTTTCCCAGGCTGGTCTTGAACTCTTGAGCTCAAGCAATCCTCCTTCCTTGACCTCCCAAAGTGCTGGATTACATGCATGAGCCACCACAACTGGCCAATTTTCCTCTTTGTAATAAACTTCCTTCACTAAGTATAAATTTATTGTCTTCAAGTTTCCACATAAATATCAATTGTCTTGAAGCCTCTATAAAAATAGTTCCAACATCATACACTGCAATTCAACACTTTGAAAGTGGCAGAAAAAGAAACGTAGAAAGTTTTAACTTAAGCACTGCTTTTAAAATGAGTAGTCTATTTCAAGAAGAAAAGATAGGACAAAACATGGAAATAAATAGAAATCACATACACATTCTAAAATACTGCCAGAACCTGAAAAACTCATACCTTTTAAATACATAACACACATTGAGACACAATAAAGAGTTGGTTACTTTGCTGGATCACATCAGAAGTTGTAATAACCTTTCCCAAAATGGCTAGCTTCTAACCAACAAGACACTTTAAAAGACAAAAATGACATAGATCAGTGGTTCTCAAACTTTAGAGTGTATCAGAATCACCTGGAGAGCTTGTTAAAACATGGATTGCTGGGTCTCAACTCCAGGTTTTATGACTCAGAAGGTCTGTATGGGACCCTAGAATTTACATTGTTTATCAAGTTCCACAGCAAATGCTCCTGGTCCAGGGACCACACTTTAAGAACCACTGTCCTAGACAGCTACCCAATATGTGACTTGAAAACTGCAAGCAATAGACCTAGGAGAATAAATTTCATCATATTGTCACTTTAGGCTTTATAGAATAATTTACACATTAATGCATTTATCAGCTATCTACATAATACTCTTGATCTCATCCACTCCATTTTAGCAGGAAGCTATCTGCTTTAAGAGGCAAAAAACAATATGCAACTCCCCGCAGGTCTTACTCAATAGTCACCTTCTTTCCTGGCTGCCCATTCACAACTTCATCTCCTCTGACGTCTAACATAACATATTTTCCTTGCTTGCTTCATTTTTTATTCTTAACTGCCTCAAATATTACATATTTTAATTAGTCTTATTATCCTCTCCACTACAATTTAAACTCCATGAACCTAGGATTTCTACTTAACGAATGTATCCCAAGTGCCTACAGACACTAAACCCTTAGGAGCTCAATAAATATTAATTAATTAATTGAATGGGGGAAATGGCACACAAGCTGTGTACAATGTTGGGACCTCCATGTCTCCAAGGACCAAGTTCTTCTGGCTGCCAATCTAGTCATGTTTCTAAAAAAGCCATGCCCCTAAAAAAGCCATGCCCAACTCTGCACACCCCAAGTATCTTTCAATGAGAAACTGCCCAAGAAAGTTGATAAATGAGCTGCTCAAGTTCCTCATATTTTAAGGCAGAATTCCAAAGACAATACAAAGGAATTCTGAAGATATTTTACCTGACAGGTGGTCAGGAACAACAAAGAAGTAAGGAACCAGAAAGAGCAGAGAACTGAACAGACATCAGGGTGGACTCTGAATGTAACCAGTCCTCAGAACCATAGTAAGAAGCAGTCCAAATTTCACAAAATTATGGTTGTTTGATTTGCATATCAAAGGAGATTTCCAGGTGGCTATGAATAATGTCACCAACACATACTAAAAGTCTATCTTCATTCTAAGGTGCCCAACAGAAGCCAGGAAGTCCAGTCCTCATTTTCAGGAGTGAAATCCCTGTCCAGACCTCTTTAACCACACAGTAGAATATGAGAGATTTGAGAACAGTGATTCCCTCTCCTTCTCTGACTCATTATCCTCGAGAGCAGCCCCTGTCTGTCTGTCAGTCCCCTTGCCACTCCCAGCATTTTACTAAAGTGCCATTGGACAGGTGGGTCGAAAAAGGAGGAAGAGGAAGATGAAACAATTTTCCTCTTTATTTGACTTAAATAATAATATAAAGAAACATGTGTGAGGTGGTTTATTTATTCTTTTCCACCCTATCCAGGTTCTCTATTAAAAGCTGATGCTTACACTGGTCTCTCTCTGATTTTCAGTGTTTCTTTTTTTGCCCTCTAAAATATCCTGCAAAAGCTGCCAAGTCCTGATGCCTTTATTATGAGTTTTCACCTAAGGATTTCTGGCAGTATTCCTGTTTATGGAGGATGAAATTTGAGCAGCCTGAGCCATCATCTTAGAACTCATGTCTTTCTAAAGGTATATGAGCCATTTTTCTCTTCTTAATTATATAAAGCTTGTAAGAATCACATTAAAGAAACATTTTTTAAAAAAGTATAGTGTGAAAATTTATAATAGATAATTTTATCAGATTTTAAAATGGTGACTAGCTCTCTACTAGTTGCATTCCTATGAAGTTTTCCCAAGAAAATAATAAGAACCATGTATAAAGGAAAACAGATGAAGAAAGTGATCACTGGTGTTTATTATGGGTTCCAGAAACATCCCACTGGACAAAAACTAAAACTTTATCAATAATAAATTGGTTCATAACATAGGATACAGGCATACATTGAAAAACTACAGGCTACTAAAAATGATAATTTGGGCCGGGCACAATGGTTCATACCTGTAATCCCAGCACTTGGGAGCCCAAGGCAGAGGGATTACTTGAGCCCAGGAGTTCAAGACCAGCCTGGGCAACATGGCAAAACCCCACTATGAAAAATTAGTCAGACGTGGTAGTGCATGCCTGTAATCCCAGCTACTCAGGAGGCTGAGCTGGGAGGATCACCCGAGTCCAAAAGTTTGAGGTTGTGGTGACCCATGATCATGCCACTGCACTCCAGCCTAGGTGACAGAGTGAGACCATGTCTAAAAACGAAAATTAATTTAAAAAATTAAAAATAAAAGAAGACAATGCGAGAATACACATTATCAACATAAAAAAGAAAAAAATAACATTCAATTATAAAAGAGTATAATATAATCCCATTTATACAAAATACATAAAATTTTTGTATGTTATGTGTGTTTACACAAAGACGTCCTGAAAAATATACAAATGTTTATTTTATTCTTCATCTTTTTGCCTATATGTTCATAATCCATATGTCAATATATCTCTACACATAGAGATATTTTTCATAATATATAACTTAATTAATTATATACATTTTTCACACTATATGGCTTTTATAATTTAAAATACCACAAAAATGTGTTCCCCTTTATTTGAAAATATGGCACACTGCTTACCATTTTGTTCTAAGAGAGTTGATAGTGCATTCGCAGATGCCTGGAAAACTTCTTTTGATGAAGAATGCATCAGCATGGAGAGCATCACTTCCCTATGAGCTGGGAAGCTTTCAAAAATTCAAGGAAAATGTTAGTAGTAATCTTTTAAATAATTATCTCAAATTTTCACTTACTATTATCTTTAACAATAATTAACAATAATTAAGAGCATATAAACAATATTTTATGCCATCTCCACCTACAAGAGTGAATTATAGTTCATTTTTTTAAGGCTCGATTAAATACTAACAAAATAGTCTTTTTATGTGTTTTCAAAAGCCAATAAGCAGCAGAGGGGAAAAAAAAAGCTCAGCAGATATATAAAGTGATGCTAAGGAAAAAGGTAAGTGAGGAAAGAAAGAAGATGGAAACAAGAAAGGAAAAATTAAAAATTGTAAAGAAATAAGGTAGGTTTTAAAGATATACAACATAAATATGTTTTCTTTGTTTTCACACTATACTTATTTTAAAGCTGTCTTACGGATATCAAGAGATAGGTATCCTATAAACTAAACTTTAAAAACTGCAACATGAATCTCCCTTACCCTAATCTCCAAAATCCTTGCTCAACATGAGATTATTAAGATGCCAATTTAGCATAGTTTCCAAAAGAATTACAGTTTCTTGTCAAAATGAAAATGTTTAATTAACTAGCATCTGTGTTATTAATTCCCTTCTTATCAGCAACAGATAATTATACAAATAGATTGTAAAGGTTTCAGATGTAGAATACTACCATTTGTTTCCAAAATAAGTCATTCACAATATAAAACCCAGAGGATACCCACTGCAAATAGCATAAGGAAAATCATTTGCCATAAAACACAAAGGCCCATGGATATGAAACAAACCTGATATACACAAAACTCCTTGCTACAGTTTGTATCTTTGGGAGATAGGGTCAGTCTTATAATATTTGAATGGCATTTTTATGAAAGAGTTATCAGGAGACAACAGTTTCAAATAACCCTCTCAAAAAAGACAGGTCAACTCTGTCACATCAGATGGGAACTTATGATAGGAAGCTCTCTAACCAAATCTAATTCCTGATATTGACAACCTGCTGGTTAATCACTGCAGAAGAAAAGATCACAGGTGGCTCTGCAATGTCTATCACCCAAGATAAATTAATATGGCATTTTAAAACAATTAGCCAAAAAACAGATTCTTTTGCCATTATTCATGAATTACTGAATGACTCTTGATTCTAAATCTCTCAATAACTCTCAAACATTCTACCTTTTCTAACTATTGAAGGTAATAAGATCAAAACACTACATATCCACTAACATTTTGCAGCAACATCTAAAACATAAATACCCATATCAAAAATATTTATAACAATAAATGTTATGGTTAAGGTATTTTATGGGTATAGATTTAAAATATAACTGAAAATTTCTATCATATGAAATCAAAACTACTGACTGGCCATCTTCATCTCCAATCTTCTCATGTAAACTGTTTTGGTACATAAGGAGATTATTTAGTGCCCAGCATGCGGCCTCCTAAATTAAGAGAGAAAAAAGAAATCTGTCAAAATATAAATGACTGGCAAACATAATTTTGAATAACACTAATATTTATGAGAGTCCAACCTGCACATCCTTGTTCTTTCTATGCCATGTTAATGCTTTGTAACAGGCTTCCAGCCAAAACAATTTATCTTCTTCCCCCTCATCATCATTCTCCTGATTCTCATTCTTTTCCTCTAAGTCTTGATTTAAGAAAATGGTCTCAGCTTGAAAAAAATTAAAAATAAACAGAAACATTATATATATTATCTACTTAACAGTTTGACCAACTTTAAGTCCATATTTTGAAATGTTACCAAAAGAATGAGGTGTGCTTTAGCAGAAGCCTTGGTCAATTATAAAGGTTAATTTTAATATATTACACACTTCATAATACTACCATCCTATACAGATAAATGATAAAATGAGGAAGAGGGTACCAAAAAAAACTAATAAACTAAAGGAGGATTATTTGAAAAGATCAGTTCATTGCAGCACTACTCACAATAGCAAAGACATGGAATTAACCCAAATGCCCATCAGTGATAGACTGGATAAAGAAAATGTGGTATATAGATACCACGGAATACTATGCAGCCATAAAAAATGAGATCATGTCCTTTGCAGGGACACAGATGGAGCTGGAAACCATTATCATCAGCAAACTAATGTATGAAGAGAAGACCAACAACTGCATGTTCTCATAAGTGAGAGCTGAACAATGAGAGTACATGGACACAGGGAGGGGAACAACACTCACTGGGGCCAGTTGGGGGGCAGGGCTGGGGAGGGAGAGCGTTAGGAAAAATAGCTAATGCATGCTGGGCGTAATATCTTAGGTTATGGGTTAATAGGTACAGCAAACCACCATGGAACACATTTACCTATGTAACAAATCTGCACATCCTGCACATGTACCCCAGAATTTAAAATACAAATATAATTTTTTAAAAAAGAGTAGCTGCTTAATAACAAAGCTAAATCAAGAATGATATAAAGTAAAACTCTACATCAAGATGTGTACACTTGTCACAACTGTTAGTTTCCTTGAAAGTATCTTCTAATGGAAAATGAGTCACACAGGACAAAAAAGGCACTGAATGCTTCCTTCTGTACATATGATTCTCTTGTTACAATGTTCATATTTGATGTCAAATGCATCTGTGAGAATCTCCTTTTTAGTGAAGTTACTTACTGAGAAGGGCCAAACAGCTGAGTGCTGAGATTTGTAATGCTGCGTTCTCTGGGTACTGCTGCACAGCTTTCACCACAAACTCATGGACTTCATTTAATACCAGAATATTAAAAAAATTACCTAAAAGTTAAATGAAACATTAGCTGAATTCTCACCCATGGAAGTTAAATACCTTTAACATATAACACTGTTTACATCAATAATTTTGAATAGCGATGAATATTTATTGCCATTAAAACATTTACTTTAATTAAAATAGCTTAATATGACTGAGTAAAATTTGGAAATTTTATTTTATGCTGTCATTTAATTATCTTACTTAGACAATGGAAGTGACTGAGCAAAAACAATGAGACTAGTTTGGGTTGTATTAACTGCATGTTGTCTGATTCCCTCTCATGCCATGTCTGTTACACATGGCACCACAATATCCATTGTATAAAATAACTTAATTTTTCTATCTTTTAAAGATGAAACTTTTAAATCCATCTTTTAGAAGAGGCAATATTAAATCATTTTGCTGAAAAACCCTTCTTTCAATTAAAGGAATGCTGCTCAGAAAATTCATTGGCATGCTTACCATTATTTGGTCTTGTCTATGATGATCTCAGGGAAAAAAAAAAAACTACAACAACAAGATATTTCATCACCTTCAACCCACCCCAGGAAGAACTCCTATATCTATTTATACCCACTCTTCTGAGAATTAATATGATATCCAATAGTCTAAATCCTTACAAGGAAAAACTTTATCTGATATTCCAGAAATATGTACCTTCTTCCATTTGGCTTATTTGTAACTCACCAACAGTCACCAAGCTTTTTTCTAAAAGAAAGAATTGAAACTCCTATTCAGCTATAAGTGTAACTAAGTGATCTGTGAGATTCAAAGCCAGAAATGGAAAAAATCCTGGAATGGAAAAAATCATAAAAAACCTAAAGCCCAAACCAAATATTCATCAACAGGTTCACAATCAAAAGGCAGTTGAACCAAGCAGAGTGCGTCTTTACCAACGTCTGCCCGAGCTGTTGCCTCTTCCACATTCGCCCACCAAGCAGACATGCTTCACAGCCCTTAGTGATCACTAGTGCTTTCAAAAAGATTTTCTTCTACTTTTACCAGCTTGTCTAAACTTGGGTTGTCCCCATCACTGTCTTCACCCTATTATACCCACACCACTGCTGGCAGCTGTTCTGTCATTGTCTTACTGTGTGACTCTGAGAAAACAGCAAGATTGTCTGAACTTTATGTTCAGACAACTTGTGTGAAAATACACAGTAAATTGTACAAAGCCCTTAAATGCATTAAGCCCATAATTAGATTACATAATTTGGCAAAATGTTAAATATTTATTTGCTTGAGGTTTTAATTTTAACTATGAAGAAAAAGTTAAGAGTTTTATTCAGCTTCTTTTGAAACAATAAAGCAACAATGAATTATCTACTCATTAAATGGAACAAATAATAATCCACTAAGAAATAAATAAGAGAAAAAAGCAACTTTACCTGAAGATCAATTTGATCACTTTTTATTTTCAAAAAATGTTACGGAATAATACAAAAGTTACATATGACATGACAGTTGCCATGGTTTATTTAATTTTTACAGTATAATATCAAGCACCTTTAATGTGTTTCTCTAGACCAATTCGGCAGTAAGGTTACATTTCCCTAATCACGAAAACAAAACCACTTCTTCCTCTGGCCCATTTCAAGAAATTACGGTGAACTCACATTTTAATGTAACATGTGCAAGTTATAACCTGACTGTGGTAAACTGTAAAACATGAAACAGAGAATTGTACAGGAGTGTGCTATTCTAACACCTAGATTAAAGAAATTGACTTTGAATTAAAACATTATCAGAAATCAGCCAGATTAAACAAATTGACTTTGAATTAAAACATTATCAGAAATCGGCCAGATTGTACCACTACAACCTTCTCATGAAAAATAATGAGAAAAGTATCACCTGATAGAGATAAACTAATAATCAGCTACCACATTTTAGAAGAAATACTTCTTTAGGGATGAAGAAATCTGGGTTCTCAGCCTAATTTCAGCCCTTACTGCTTACATGATCTTGAATAAAACACAAAGACTCGTTGAACCAGAGGACCTCATTCGTAAATGTGGAAATAATAACCATATCCCATCTCTCAAGACTGTTGCATGGACTAAAAATACTGTGTACATATGTATATATGCAAACACAGTATTTATATTTGTATAAATGTATACATATTATATTTGTATATATAAATGCATCTATATTTATAAACATTTGTATATTTGTATATATGTGTATTTATATACATTTATATATTTATATATATTTGGATATATATTTTTATGTATATTTCTATGCATTTATAAATATATATTTATATGCATTTATATACAATGTATATATATGTATACATACAGTATACAAGTAGATTCATATATATGAAGTATATAAGTATATATATACTTTGGAAACTATGAAAGAAATATGAAAATATTAAAATATTATCTTACAGTTTTAGTCATATAATAACATTCAATAAATGCTTATCAAGGAAAGAAACAACCAAAGTTTGTGCATGTAAAATAGAATTCAACTTACAAAAAATTCATTTTAACTGAAACTAGGAACTTTCCTAAAGGTAAAATCAATTTCCAAATTATACAGGGGATATAGTCATGATACTAGAAGTGAAAATACAAATTGCTAAAATGGAGACGTGCCAATTCGTTTTTTCAAATGATTAACAATTTTCCCCCTAATAGTAATGATGAAAAACTAAATGCCTATTATAATAATCCTAATTTTGCACAAAATATTCCTGGTTATTCTTTTGGGAAAATGTCATCAGAATCAATTTCCAACAGTTAACAATCATTTCGTATTATTCACCAACCACTCACTTTTAAGTGCATTGTTGTGCTCACTCACAAAAATATCAAGGAAATTTCCAAGGTGTGTGTGTTGAGAGGCAGGGGTAGTTCAAAAAGAAGTTGAATCAAAAGCTCTGAGTTCAAAGCCAGAGTAGTCTTATGGGAAAGCATGAATTATGGCACTGCATTAAATAAACTAGTTTCAGACTCTCTCCAAAGCAAGGTAATTCAAACCAGAGTCTCTCACAGTAAGCCTGGATCTTAAGATCCTAAACTGCTACCAGGTCAGTCCTGTGCCCTGGCTACTGGAAAACACCTCTGGAGGAGCATCTTTAATTTAAGTCCTCAGGATGTTCAAATATTAAGCTCAACCAAAGAGAAACTCACAAGCATACAAGAAAATAAGGCTCCATGACTGATGGGCAGTAGGCCTAGAAGCTGTTGGTTTAGACTACACAGGACTTTATGTATAGTTAACAGATACAAAACACAAAATAGCTATTTATTAATCATTAAAGAAATAAAAGAATTTTTTTTAACAAAAAAGAAAGGGTAAAAAACAAAAAAAAAACAAGATTAAACAAGAGGCTGCCAAAACTCACCTGGTATATGTGAAAATAAAGAGAGAAGATTTTTAGAAATGTTTTAAAAAATCTAATAAATGGCCAAGTTGAATTTATCAGGGAATGCAAAGTGGCTTAGTATTAGAAAACCTGTAGATGTATTTTTTCATATTAACAAAATGAAAAGGGAAAAAAAAGACTTGCTACATTTTAAGTATATTTGATAAAATTTAATATTCATACATGATTTTTTAAAGCCCACATTGTAAAAATAAAAGCAAATAAGAAATAAAATAGAAATTTTTAACTATTTTTTAAAATTTAAACCCTTATGAGATGCATTGTTTTGGATAAGAGAATATTAAAATGTTCTGTTTAAAATCAGGAAAAAGAGTAAGATAAGGATGTCTACTATCACTGCCTCTATTTAACATGTAAGAAGAAAAGAAAATGAAATAAAGAGTATAAGAAGCAGAAAGGAAGAACTCAGACTTTCATTTATTACATATTATATAATTGTTACATAGAGAACTTAAGGGCATTTAGAAACAAATTGTCAGAATTAACAAAAGAGTTCAGAAAGGTAGGTTAGCTCAATATACAAAAAATCATTTGCATTTCTTTATGAAAACACAGTTCAAAAATATGATTTTAAAAGAGATATCATTTACAATAATAACAAAAAATAAGGTATGTAGAAATAACTAAGATGTGCAAGACATATATAGAAGAACTTATAATGCAAAGATGTCAATTCTTCTTAAAACAATCCACATATTTTGTGCAATTCCAGTCAAAATCCGAACAGTGTTTTACAGAGAACTGGACAAGTTAATCCTAAAATTTGTATACAATAGTAAAGGCCCAAGAAAAAAGTCAAGCTGTGCCTAAAAAAGAATGTAGAGTGACTTGACCTATTAGCTTTTCAGATATCAGGACTTACAGAACTATTAATATAAATGGTGTTATATTGATTCAGACAAATCAGATTAACGCACCAGAACAGCAAGAACAGAACATAAATATATATTTGATGTACCACACCACTGGGAAATGGGTGACTCTATAATAAATTGTGCTATGGTGATAACTAGCTCTCCATATTGAAAAAAGAGGGGGAATGGGTTCTTACTTTACAAAAAGAAACTGCAACAGTTTAATAAATGAGAAAGAGTTAGAATAAAATATACAATATATTTATTATCTTAGGGAAAGGAAAGGTTCCTTAAACAAAGTAACTAATTATTAAATTTAACTATATCACAAAAGCCACCATAAAGATGGTGAAAGGACATGCTATAAGCCAAGGGAAGGTATCTTCAATACATATAACCTACCATCAAGACATTATTATCCAGAATCTATGAATAAGTTTTAAAAAGACAAGACTATCTTGTGAAAAATACCGATGACAGACTGAGTATTTCAACAAAGAAGGACATACCAATGGCAAATAAATATTTTTTTAATATTCACCCTTATTTATATTTTTCTAAAAACACAGAGAGTAGTAGAATGAAACAAGAAAGAACCCAAATATCCATGGGTAGACACACGGGAAAATAAATTGCGGTATAACCAAATAATAGAATACTACATGCAACCACATGCAGAAATATTTCTGATTCTTGTAAACATAGTATTGATATTTGAAAATTACAGAAAACAATATACAGTATGATTATATTTTGATGAAGCAAAAGCAGGTAAACAGTAACAATATTACTTAAAGAAACATTAAAATGTAGTAAATCATATTTATAAGGCAAAAGATTTGTAAACACAAAATTCTAGAGAGTGTTAACCTTTATGGAGAAAGCAAGGGCAGGAAGAAGACCAGTTTAGCTTCCACCACTGGGAATATACAATATTTAAGTTGGATGGTGAGTTCTTTGCATTATGCTTTACATTTATACATATCAACTCTTACATAATTATATTATAAATATAGCCATAACAATAATAAACTCAACTATAGAACTACCTCTATAAAAATAAGATTAAAATAATACTTTTTTTTCTTTTTTTTTTTTTTAAGACAGAGTCTCACTCTGTTGCCCAGGCTGAAATGCAGTGGCAAGATGGCTGACTGCAACCTCCACCTTCTGGGTTCAAGAGATTCTCGTACCTCAGCCTTCTGAGTAGCTGGGATTACAGGCACCTGCCACCACACACAGATAACTTTTTTGTATTTTTAGTGGATACAGGGTTTCACCCTGTTGGCCAGGCCAGTCTCAAACTCCTGACCTCATGTGATCCAACCACTTCAGCCTCCCAAAGTGCTGGAATTACTTGCGTGAGCCATCGCACCCAGCCAAGATAATACTTCCTTGACATTCTACACACCTATTTTTGACACTCTTTTTAAAATTCCATCTAGGCATAGCAGAACAGTTTGTTACTTTATAGTTTTTTTTTTAATTTACTTTTTCTGGGACTTTACAATATTTTCATTCAAAGTATGTCAATATGCTACTTATCTATCATTATGCAACATAATATATGTTTTATATATGTAAACATATATATGCTGTAACATATATAAAACATACATATGATATATATGTATATCATACAGATTGTGATGATAGATTCAAAAACTCACCTAATGTAAGCCTATGGAGCAAGCAGCAACTCACTTCTTGAATTTTTTCACTGAAAGGGAATGCTTTCATAGCTTCCACCACAATATTATAACACCTGACATTGCCACTCATGAGGACTTCCACATTATTGCCTGAATTTAAAGAGATCATAATAATCAATAAGGCAACCATTTTCTCCTTTCAAATTTGCATACAAAGACATGTTATATAGATTGTAAATACAGGGCAACATAATGACTGCATTTCCAAATTTAAACATCATGTTCTGTCAGCAGCTGTAAAAAATGCTATGCTGTTTATTGACAACATAATGGGATGTAGAACTCATCTTTATCACTAAGGAAAAATTACTTTATTCCTGTTTCTTGGCATAAAGTCTTAAGACCAAAAAAAGAAAAAATTCAGAGTACTTTTAGTACTGAAAATGAAATGAAAAGTACTGAAGATAAAAGTCTGAAAATGTAATATATTGGTCATAAGTTTTCAAATAAACATATTCAAATAAATTGGAGGGTCTATTTCTTAATAAGGCTCGATCTCATTGGATAATGACTTTTGTATTGTTTTCACCAACCACAGAAAGAAAATCAGGAATAAATCACCAGAAAGAAAATTTAAAATCAACTACGACCCATTTCCTTCAATCCAGAAGAACAACCAATGTACAAGGCAGCAAAATCAAGCTTCCTGAAGGCTCCAAAATAGATGGGAGAAAAGATGGGAGAAGGAAAGAGGGGAGGCATAATATTAAAATACATATCCAAAGGACAAACACAGGTGAAACAGAGAGGAAGGAAAAACTCTACCAGGAAAAGCAATTAATCAATAAAGGGGAGCGGCCGCACCAGGCCTGCTGCTGGCTGCCGGTGGGCGCCCCCTGGTGCAGGAGGTTGATGGGGGCGTGCGCTTCCCCCGGTGCCAGTAGGGGTCGGCCGACTGCGAGTAGGACAGCCGCTGGTTTATTTGTGTTACTGAAAATGATACAATGTCATACATTGTTATGAGTGTGGTGTATTCCATTGTGGCTACATACTGGAGTTTCTCCATCCCCTCATCAGTTGATAGACTGGTGTTCCTTGAAAACCTATGTTGACTCCATCCACATTTGCATTTAGCTTGTGGCTCCCTAGTTATATCCACAGGTGCATGGTTGTGTTTTTATGCCACTACCACATTGTTTGCATAAGTATAGCTTTTAAAAGTAATTTGAAATCAGGGAGTGTGAGGCTGTCAACCAAGATTGTATTTCCTAGAATTGCTTTGCATGTTCCGGGTCTTTGATGGTTCCATGTGAATTTTAGCATTGTATGTTTACATTTCTTTAAAAATTTGGTTCATACTACATGTCAAAATTTAGGGAGTACATTGAGACATTGTGATACTACAATACCTTGCATATGAAGAAAATCAGGGTGTTTGACATGTCTATGACCACATTCATTTTGTATTTCTTTGTGGTTTAAACATTTAGTATCCTTGTTTGTAGTATATTAAAAAGACATGACCATATTGTTAAGCATAGTCATTCTACCATGGAGTAAAACATTAGAGTTCATTCCTCCCCTGTAAATGTATCTGTGCACCATGCTAATCCCTGCCCATGTTCTCTCCTCCACCCACCCTGTGATGACCACTATTGTACTTTCACCTTTAGGTAGATACATTTTTCAGTGCCCAGATGAAAAAATTCATGCAGTGTTTTTCAAAAAAAAAAAAAAAATCAATAAAGGGAGTGAGACATGAACCTACATGGAGAAAGTATGTATATCTCTGCATGAAATGTTAACTAATTTTTTTAAAAAACAAAGGCTGTTTGCAAAACATTTTAGTTTCTTTTTTGGCACAGCCCCAACTAATCAACTGTTTTCACAAAAAGTATATTATAATGCTTAAACCTAGAAAAAAATGTAATAACGTAAGGAAATGGTCTGTTAAAGCAATTCAATTATCTGCTTTGACTCAGAACAATAGACTTAAAGACTGAAAAGCAAATGTTTTTCAGTTAGAATGAGTGTTTTAAAAACTCCTGACTTCTTAATTTTTAGCTGCTACTTTTGCATTATGAATCAACACATTTTTACTGGAGTTATGTCAGATGTGGGGGAAAAACAATGGATTCCTAAAACTGCCAGCCCAAAATAAATAAATAAATGAATATATATAGCCAAGGAAAAGTATAATGAAAAATATATTCAGTTTGTTTGCAGTCATGACTCAGAGAGATGTAAAAGCATGTCCTTTCTCTACTATTGTTCAGCCCCACCCACTTCCCAGTGTTTAATTTCCTTTGAATAAGAAAACTTTGTGATTTTATAAACATCACCAAAAAAAGGCATTCTTTCACAAGGGCATCGGGTTTTCACCCTGCCTACACTGAAAGTTCACACCTGCAGACTAACATAGTAATTTCCATATCTGAAACCATAAATGCATATTACATACAGTAAACAACATACAAATAAAATACATATTTTGTAATAATCCTGTCAGTGATTTTAGAATACTTATTTATACCATGTACTATTCTACATTGTTTAACTCATTTAATCCTCAAAACTTCGCATGTGTGAGGATAAAAATATCACTAGATAAATGCATATGTATATTCTGTAGAAACCCACACAAGAAACACATGAAATACAAAGTGTTAATGGGCCCTTACAAAACAAAACAGAAAATGAGCCATTATTTTAGCCTATTAGCAATCATTGGTGACATAAACATCAAATTAGTTTCTTCTGATTAATATTTTTTGTGAAAAATCTGGCTAGATTTCAGAACATCATTAAAATGCTAATCAAGAATCAAAATAAAATTCAAACTCCTTCATGTGGCTTTTTAGGTCCTCCATGTTCTCCACTCCATGTCTCTGGCCTCATCCTCTGCCTCTTATCAAGCTCCTTGCCTCCATCAATGAAACACAAATGGATATTTGGGGATGTGCACGCACAGTGGCACTCATAACCCCACATCTTTACTGAGCTACTTTTGTCTTCCTGAAAGCACTCTGCTCTCTCTTGAGCCAGCAACTTTACACTAACCATGCCCACTTTCTGGGCCACTCTGCCTGCATTCTAACTTCAGCTCATACCTCCTTGCACAGGAAACTCTACTTACTCAATCTTTGCTAAGAGACATTGCCTCACTTTCTACTTGTTCTTCTAACTCTAGGTACTTCTGTCATTGTAATCACCTCTGTACTTATATGTGTTCCCACATTGTACTAGGAGCTCTGAAAAAGTAAGGAACATATTTGTATTTTCCATGATGGTTTCCCCAACACCAACCCCACAGCCAGCTTCAGTATACTGTCGATGAATGTAAATTAATTAAATGAATAAATGAATTAATGGGTTTACCATCCACAAGTTTCTAAATAATAAAAATATTGTTAAAATATACTCAGAAAGAGATATACCATGATTTTTCAGATACAAAAAAGAAATCACAAATAAATGCTACTTACATGGAATCGCTAGAGAATGTAAACAATGCAGCACATGAAGCACAATTTCCTCTTCTTCTTTAAAATTTTTTAACGCACTTAACAATATCATATAATCTTTGTTCTCAACAAATTCAGTCAGTTGCTCCTCTGAGACTAAAAAATGAAAGACAAAAATACTGAATAAGCTTAAAGATGAGATAAAAGTTTATTCAAAAATTATAATATTCATGATAGTTGTATAAGATATATCAAGTCTGATCTCCTTAAATACAATATACATTTTTGTAAAAACGGCCCTTCCTAAGAGTGATATAATGGGGAAACAAGCTACAGAGATTAAAATAATTTTGTTTTGACCTATGCTAGTTACTCCATGTTTTCAAACGTAAAAGTACTACTCAGCAAACAGTTCTCAGAAAAACAAAATTATTTACAATTTCACTTGGGAAATTCCAGAGAAAACTGACAGTGACAAATAAAGAAGGCCACCTGGAACTGGACATATTGCAATACATAAAAGGGAGGCATTAATGGTAGACTGCTAAAGGGTAGCTCAGCTAAACCTGTCGGTTCAAGAGTTGTGAATTTGAGCAAATGGCAAGTAATCAGGCTTTGAAATACTGTCTTACTGGGTTTCCATCAGACAGCAAAAATATACATCATTGATTTTCACAATTAAAGTCATTTGATCAAGCCAGTAAGTTCCATTTGGAATCACTGTTACTGGGCAAGAACCTCAAAAATATGTATAAAATTCTAGTTTATCTATCCTGAGAATGGCGCCAGAAATATATTAGAAAATGCAGCACTCTAAGAGATTAACATTAATTTTTTTTTAATTTTATGTCAGAGTGTCCCTATATACTTATATAACGTGAAATTGGTTAAGTTTTTCTAACAAGTGAAGAATATCAAGGAACTTTCTCACTTTATGGTCTAGCTTCCACAGTATACTTCCAAACTCTGAAAATTAACTACGTAGTTGCCCCTGAGTCCTGGAGAACTTGAATCTCCTGGAAAAATCAGAAATTTTTCTACTCTACATTTATAAGCATAACCCTCTCATAACTGATGATTTTTCTACTGAGTAACAATCTTCTTTGTAACATTCCATGGTCTATCTCCAGTGTCCTAGATGGACTAAAACGCTTGTGAGAGAATGATGTTAGCCCTTCTTCTATGAATAAGAATGTGTCCCTAAGCTTCAACACACAAGGTTATAGGCCCTGCAAAACAATAGAACCTCAACTTCATCCTAATGGTCATCAAAAGCTCAGTTGCAAGATATAACATTTATACAAGATAGCCTGAAAGACATTCCTTACTTGCAATAAACTATCTTCTACTTCACGATGTATGATTATCAAAGAGCTGGGTACCAGGCCCATGCTATTCTGACTCTTGACAGAGTCACTATCACTGCAATATGCTTTGTATTCCTTGCAAAATGTATGTCCTTTATTGTCTCATCCAGGGAGACCCATGGGAAGATGTTTCTCAGATCTCCCAGGAGACCAATTGCTTCTCCTGAGTAATAGATTTACTTTTATCTTAAGGAACTTTGTAATCAATGATATTAACCACTTTTTTTGTCAGATAGGAAGCAAACAGACAAATTTGTGGCCCACCCCTTTGCAAATACGCAGGACCCTAAGAACACAGTAAACTTAACCTAGCTTTACATTGTTGTCCCTTCACCCATTTTCTCATCCATTGTGTTTACTGTTGTGTATTATAATTATCTATAAGCTGTTTAAAATCCTTCTGGAAGGAGACAGGGAATTCAAGAGTTATCAGGTGATCTATCTCATTCTGGAAACTATGAGAAATTAGACTGGTAAACTGATAACTGACACAGGACCTGTATAAATCATTCTTATCCTAAACCCCTAGCAGAGTTGGCTCTCATAATGATACAAAAGGGGCTCTCAAAATAATTGGTAATTGAACTGCACTGTCACAAGCTCTGTGCCCTCAGGCAGGTTGCTCACTTCACTGTTCTGACCTGCTTCCTTCTCAGGCCACTGGAAAGGCTAAACAAGGACTCCAACTAACTCTAAAATTACATGATAATCTCAGTTATCAATCTAGGGCCAGGCTATGAAATGCATATTAGTCTTTTTTCCTGAGGGACGCTTCATAAACCTCCTGGCTCTTTATGCAGAGCCTTTAGCAATTTCTAAGGTTTCTGATGATGACTCAACATCATAAACCCAATGTAACCCAGGCTTGGCTTAACACTTTTATTTTTTCTTTCATAACACCCACACATCCAGTTTTCAAAGTAAACCTTATGCCTTGTTAAGCAATTTAAGAAAGTCTATTCCAATTGCATGATTTATAACCCATGAATGAAATTCACTCCACAATAACAAGCAATACTTCTGCATTAACCGCATTCCTCACCTTTGACAGACAAGTCCCACTTCTTAATAAATAGTAGGATTTTAGACACCTTATTGTTATTCTGTGTTCTACTTTTCCCAGTATAAATTTTTTTTTCCTTATATATACTTTAAAATAAGGAATTTGATATTTTAAAATACCTCTCTCAAACAGCACATGTAAAGCTTTGCATCCAAGTTTCTGGACTTCATCATTGGTTGGAAATGAGTGCATGGCATCAAAAATTAACAAGAAAATATCACTTTCTTCATCCAATATCAGCAAGGTGATTTTACCTGTTTTGAACAGAATAATATGCTCTCAGTAAACAGCTGCTTTAACATTTAATGTGTTAATTTTTACATGAAGACTATGAATTGTTTGTAGACCCATGGGTTTTTGTGTTTTTGTTTGTTTGTTTGCTGATAAACCACTTAACTGCCCTGGATGTGAGGTTTATCAAGCTCTAGATCTTTCTAAATGAGATAAACTTCCAGTTCACTTTACTATAATTTTATGAGTCCCAATCAGTACTTCTAGCCTAGACAACTTGTCCCAAACTCCTGAAATATATTCCTATGCCTCTTAGACAACATCTGAATATTCCACAGGTACCCCAAACCTAGCCTACTCCTGGCCCCTATCTTCATCAATGATACCATAATCCAATAGCTACCCAAGAGAAACTCCTGAGTCATCTTCCTTCTTCCACCCTCCTTTTCTCTTCTCATTCTCTATCCAAATAACAAATCAATTCATTACCAAGTCCTTTAAGTATATATTCCACCTATCTTGAAAATTCTTTTTCAACGAAACTCCTTTTGAACGAGGCACCTTCATTCCTATTGTGTTTTGCATTCTCGTCTAGAATGCAAAAACAGCTGCTTAATTGCTCTACAGGCCCCAATCTCTACCAGGCTAGTTTATTGCCTGCATTATATTTCTAAAACACAAATGTGAACTTACAAATCCATTGCTGAAATCTAAGATCTTCCCAAACTCCTTAGTATGAAAAACGAGACCCTTCACACGAGTGACTACAGTACATGTATCTCATCAGCCCTTCATCCTTCCACACATTGTCTTCACTCCAAATATGCTACACTCTGCTCCATAAACACTGTCTTTGGTATCTCTTTGTACCTGGATGAACTGCATGTCATACTCTTGCCTTTTGCTAGACCAAACATCTTTTATCATAATCCAAAACACAACACAAATAACATCTATTCTGTCAATAAAAATAATAATATTGGAATAGGAGTGGCAGTACTATATGAGGCTAACTTCAATATATTCCAGTGTTGGGAGATTTTCAGATTAATAAACCCTCACCTTCCTGTCCACTGCCAAACGGAGAATAAATCCCCCTCAAAACAAAACAAAACAAAACAGCCTCCCAAGGATGAGGTTAGACTAAATCATGGTTAAGACTGTGAGTGCATGCTGTACAACATGTTCATGAAAAGTTGTGGTGAAATGCTGAGTACCACCTTGGTTTTCCCTCATGCTCTCATCTTCCTTCCTTTTTCTCTTGCAAGGTCTTCATCTCTTAGCCGGGCTGATGAGGACGGATGAGGACATTTAAAACCTTCCCACTCACATGTCCAGCCTCTGTCATGCTGTCCTCCCAGGCCTCTGCACCCATGCTTCTCTCAACCTAAAAAGCCCTCCCCTACAGGGAAGGAAACTCCTCCCAGCCCTTCAGGATTAGCTCCCTGTGAGCAGCCTTTCTTCTCTGAACCTTATACAACAGACAGTGTTCAGCACAGCAATGCCAACCACCATGGGATCGTTTCAAGATTTTTTTGTTTTCAGGTTTGTTATCTTCCAGCCAAAAGTTTTCTCAGGCAAGACATGGGGAATCAGACCCTGTTTCTACCGCTTAGTGGCTGAAACAACTTCCCTGCCCTTCAGTGTTTCTCACTTAGAAAACTGAGATAAAATCCTTATCTCAAGGGGCGTTTTCAGGTTTATGTACTTAAAAGCATGTGAAGCATTTTACTTGTGAGGCTTGGCATCTAGCAAATACTCGAGAAGTAATGCTACATATTTTCAAAATGTAACTATGATGCCATATTCCAGAACATGTATTATAGCAAACATATTAAAGACATATATGGAGAAAGGTGTAATAATGGCAAGGGCATGAATGACCACCAACCTAGGGAAATATGAGATGTGGGACCAGATTTGGGGAGTAAACATCTGGCTACAAATAGAGATTTGGGGATAATATATAAGGTAATGTTTAAAACTAAGGTATTGAATGAGATTTTTGAGAGGCAAAGTACAGAGAAAAGAGGTAAAGAGAAAAGGTGGAAACAAAGAATTTCAGAAATAACTGATATTTAGGTTACATTATGGCTGTCCCATCACTAGTTCTAAAAATAGATGCAATTTTAGGACATTAAGTCAAGCTACCCTCATCCTGATCCTTAGAAAAATTAAAACACATTTAGTTAATGACATCAATTTTTTTTTTTTGAATCAACAACAAAAAAACATACACAGGTATTACCTGAAGTTAGGAGGAGATCTAAGGTCTTCAGTCCAATCATTGACAGATTTATACTGGCATTGTGAACTGTTAGCATTTTAAGAATCAATCTAGAGTTGAAAACAGAAATCAAGATAAGAATGAAATATCATACCCAGAAGTTTGCTTATTTAGATTTTTTTTTGTTCACTTATTTTTTATTACCCTCATTGTATTTAATTTCCTATAGTGAAGCTTATGTGTTTTTTATTTCTGCTTTCAGAAACAGGTCTTGCTCTGTCTCCCAGGCTGGAATGCAATGGCACAATCATAGCTCACTGAAACCTCAAATTTTGGTCTCAAGTGAGCGATCATCCCAGCCAACCTCCTGAGTTGCTAGGGATACAGGTACACACCATCACACAAGGCTAATTTTACAATTCTTTTCTTGTAGACATGGGGTTTACTGTGTTGCCTAGGCTGGTCTAAACTTCTGGGTTCAAGTGATCCTTCTGCCTCGGCCTCCCAAAGTCTGAGATTATAGATGTGAGCCACCATGCCTAGCCACATGTGTTTTTTTCTTTCTACAAACCTGAATCAGGTTTATATAAACTTAACAGGAAATGTTAATTAGCTTGATTGTGGTAAATATTTTACAATGTACACATATATCAAATCAATTGTATACCTTAAATATAAACAATTTTTAATTGTCAATTATTTTTCAATAAAGTTAAAAAGTCAACAGGGAACTATTCGTGTCTCATTTCAAAGGTTAGAAGCACTACTTATTTTCCAATAAATATTCAAATTCAAATATTCAGATTCACTATTTTCATTCAACTCCATATTCAAGAGATTATGAAGCCTTATATTTATCAAGAGAGCAAGCCCATTTTTATATGTGGTATAAATTTATAAATTATCTTAGACATGTTGATATAGTAAAATATAGAGAGATATAATTAAGAGGTTTGTGTGTATAAATTAAGAATTTGAAAATTTATTTATTGCTATTTTTAAAAGAGAAATTAAGAATATATTATATTAGAACATGAACTTAGCATATCAATAATGTTTAGTTAGTTCCAATTCATGAGATTTTAATCCCTAAGTTATCAATTCCAAAATATAATCTTTAGTCTATTCCTGCATAGCATTGTTTGGCTTTACATCGTTGGGAGAACACTGAACTGGACACATCTAGAACTTTGTATGTATTCAAGAAATGTTGAATAATCTTCATTTGGCAATTGCAGGAACTGAATGAAGTTGGTCTTCAATTCTCTGCCAGCCTTCCTCCTACTCACCCTGCCCCTACCTCTCCCTATACCATTCCCACTATTTCTGACTTTGTAACCACAGAAGAAATTTTTCTTCAGTACTGGAAAGTCTTTGGACGGAAAAAGACTTTGAAAAAAGAGAAATATGTTTTACAATCAGTTTTTGCTGGGAGTGATCTAATATACTCCACTGGAGAGGGCAGTGTATCTATCTTCTTCACAACGGCATTGTTTCTGGCCCAGAGGAGGGCTTAAAAAACATTCAATTAATGGGAGACGAATGACTGAATGAACAAAGTAAGTGAATGAATGAGTGAATTAAATTTCCTATATAAACATTTATGTAATTTAATTTTAACAGTTGGTTTGTACAGGAATATGACTAGATGAGTTTTCCAAACACTCCCTGAGGTTATAGGTTGGCTCATCTTTGGACATCTTGGAAATTCTCAACCAAATCAAGGGACACTTAAAGTTACAATTCCTAATTACTGGTATATTTTGAGTAATTCCTCATCAAATACTGTACACTTTAGAACTGACACATAGAATTACAGAGATTAGATTGGAGAGGAGAACTCCAATTAATTGTAAATATACTCTTTCCAAAACACATCATTTATGTGCTAAAAACAAGAGCAACACATTTATCAAATAAGGGAAAATATATAGGCACAGATATGTTCACTTATGGACAAACACATAGCTCTAATTTGTCTAAACTTATAGCACTACTTGATACTGATAAGCAATACAAACATGTAAAAGGTTTACATAAATTAAATTTTCATAAACCATATACCATTGGAAGCCAAAAATATTCACAATTTCCTTTACTGTGGTAAAGAAAAGTCACATTCAGTATAAAAAAGATTTAAAGTTAATAACAGAAGGTTTTGGGCCAGGCGCGGTGGCTCAAGCCTGTAATCCCAGCACTTTGGGAGGCCGAGGAGGGTGGATCACAAGGTCAAGAGATCGAGACCATCCTGGTCAACATGGTGAAACCCCGTCTCTACTAAAAATACAAAAAATTGGCTGGGCATGGTGGTGCGTGCCTGTAATCCCAGCAACTCAGGAGGCTGAGGCAGGAGAATTGCCTGAACCCAGGAGGTGGAGGTTGCGGTGAGCCGAGATCGCGCCATTGCACTCCAGCCTGGGTAACAAGAGCGAAACTCCGTCTCAAAAAAAAAAAAAAAAAAAAAAAGCAGAAGGTTTTTTGTTTGTTTGTTTTTGAGACAGAGTCTCACTCTGTCACCCATGCTGGAGTGCAGTGGTGTAATCTCAGCTCACTGCAACCTCTGCCTCCCAGGTTCAAGTGATTCTCCTGCCTCAGCCTCCCGAGTAGCTGAGAAGATATTTTAACTGTCAAGAAACAAAGCTATACAAAATGTATTTTCCTGAAAACATATTCTCCAGAAAACATTGTCTTAATTAATTATGGCTAAGGAAGTAGTCTCATCTAAGAAGACATTATGCTGCAAACTGCAAAAACGTAGCTGGTAAAATTGCCATCGAGATTTGGCTGCAGATGTGCTGAAAGGTAATTTCCTCTTTTTGAAAGCCATAGTTTAAACTCACTGTATATATATTAACATATAAATGTACTATTTAAAGATGGTAGAACATCAACTTTCAAATTACTACTTATAGAACTAACTTTTCTCAGTTCCCATATTTTTTAAGAACTAGTGGTTTGTATCAGCTCTATTATTAAAAAGCAAACTGTCTTCATGGTCTAACTTCAAAAGTACTCATCAAAACTCTACAACTTGGCCCAGCACAGTGGCTCATGCCTGGTAATCCCAGCACTTTTGGGAGGCCGAGGCAGGCAGATCATGAGGTCAGGAGACCAAGACCATCCTGGCCAACATGGTGAAACACTCTGTCTACTAAAATACAAAAAATTAGCTGGGCATGGTAGCACATGCCTGTAGTCCCAGCTTCTTGGGAGGCTAAGGCAGCAGAATCTCTTGAACCTGGGAGGCAGAGGTTGCAGTGACCTGAGACCATGCCACTGCACTGGCCTGGTGACAGACCAAGACTCTGTCTCAAAAAAAAAAAAAAAAAAAAAAAGAAAAAATCTACAACTTAATCAGTTGTATAATTGTATGATTATATTATTAAAATAATAACTCCTGACATGTTACCTTACATGTTAGCTTTCTAAATCAAACTTCCGACTTTAAAGCCCTCTATAAATGTAAATCATTGAATCAAGGAAAAATATCTGTATTTTAAAGAATTTTACAAGAGTAGCCTTGAATTGGAAATACAATGTATCAAGGGAAGGTTGTTGTGAGTATAGATAAATATTCAAGGCAGTTTGCTTTTACATATCTATCATACTTACTGGTGAACACCAAGGACTTCCCAATCATTTCCAACATCCTGGGGTCCCATTAAGCTTTGCATTGTACCTGGACAGATTTCTATTAATTTGCATAAAAGTGACCAACCCACCTGAAAACAAGAAAGACATACATTCACGTTTTAAAGAATGTTCATAGAACATACCCAGTCAATCGTGAATCTCTTCATTCTTAGTGAAATAGATGCTTATCTCACTTGTAAATAATTGTCATAAAACAAAACGATATCCTAAAATGTTTACCAAGAAACAAAAGCAAGCCATATCCTTAGGATACATCTTTCTCCAAAAATCATACCAGAAGTGGATACAAAAAACATAATGTTTCTAAATTATGAAGGACATACATACCTATTATCTAAATAAGGCAAAATAAAATAAACTACAAAAAAAAATAGTTTTACAGGTTGTGCCAAGTTTATTAAGTGCAAGAGTGGCTATTGAATCCTTAATTTTTAATCCTTAATCCTTACTTTTTTTTCTTGTTTTTTTTTTGGTTTTGGTTTTGGTTTTGGTTTTGGTTTTGGTTTTGAGATAGGGTCTCACTCTGTCACCCAGAGTGAATTGCAATGGCACAATCATAGATCACTGCAGCCTAGAACTCCTGGCCTCAAGTGATCCTCCCACCTCAGCCTTCCAAGTAGCTGGGACTACATGTATGCGCCACCAAACCCAGCTAATTTTTTTTATTTTTTGTGAAGACAGGGGTATTCCTATGTTGCCCAGGCTGGTCTTGAACTCCTGTGCTCAAGCAGTCCTCCTGACTTGGCCTCTCAAAGTGCTGGAATTACAGATGTGAGCCTCCACACCTGGCCCTTAATAGGTTTTAAGTCATATTTACCAGACAGAATTTCTTCCACATATTTAAAATTTTAGTTATAGAAAAAAAATGAAGTGGCTTAGAATGAAGGATTAGGGGATGCTGGAGATTTTAATGGCAATTTTAAATGGCTGCTCCCCCAAGTAATGAAGCTGGACTAATAGAGGCAATAAATATGGCATTTTAAGCAACTGAAACTACATCTGGTAGGAGAAAAGGCTGTATAATATAGACAGGAGGTAGAACTCCTCAATGACTCCCTCTAGCTTTCTCTTTTTTTTTTTTTTTTTTTTTTTGAGACGGAGTTTCACTCATGTTACCCAGGCTGGAGTGCAATGGCGTGATCTCGACTCACCGCAACCTCCGCCTCCCCGGTTCAGGTAATTCTCCTGCCTCAGCCTCCTGAGTAGCTGGGATTACAGGCACGCACCACCATGCCCAGCTAATGTTTTGTATTTTTAGTAGAGACGGGGTTTCACCATGTTGACCAGGATGGTCTCGATCTCATGACCTTGTGATCCACCCGCTTCGGACTCCCAAAGTGCTGGGATTACAGGCTTGAGCCACCGCGCCCGGCCGCTTTCTCTAGAATTAATTGATAAGGTCTAGAGATCACAGACACCCCTGGTGTAGGCTCTTTCATATTTCACAATAAAGTTTGAACTTATGGATGCATTTTAAGTATATCTTCACTAACTGTTTATATGATGTCAACTTGACTAAGTTGCTCTTTACCTCTGAAAAAAACGGAAAGTCTTGATTTCAAATGAGAGATTAAAATGAACCTACTCTTCCTACTGTAGACTCCTCTCTAAATGTAAAAGATCTTTAATTCCTTCATCATACTATAGAACTATACTTGACATGGTTATAAAAAACAAAAGAGAAAATGCATATATATGTACAATCTAGAGATTAATGGAAAAGTACCTAAGTGTGATGTGTAATAAATACCAATATAATAGCAATACTGAAAGTAAGACTCAGTGTGAGTTGAAATTACTCAGAGAAGAAAATATTACGAAGAGGTAGAACTTGAGCCAGATTTTATAAGAACTGATGAGTGGTGAGGAGAGTAGGCTTGCTTCATGATAAGAAAACTGCTACAGGGAAGAGGCTATTTTGGGATAAGACTGGATGCATAAGTAAAGTTAAATGTTGCAAGGATTTGAATGACAAAGTGAGAAATCTGTATGCATCCAATAAGGAATAATGGCATGAGTTTCTTACGTGTTTATAGGAGTAAACAAGGGGTATGTCAGGAAGATAAAAATGATTACTCAAGATCTTTTTTCAATATTATTTTTGGATCTTTTCCAGATTAAACATAAATCACTTTATTTTGTCATTACTTCCTTTTACATAATTTCAAATTGCTTTAAAAGGCAGCAATTTCTGACAGCTATTTCTACCTATACTATTTAAGTGCTACATCCTCCTCCAGGTAAGCTGAACAGACGTTGACAATCCAGCTGTCATAGAAACCAACTATTTTTGTGCTTTCATAAAATATATCAAGACTTTTTTTCAAACTATTTAAGAAAATAACACTCTGAACAGCTTTTGGTGGTTAAAAAAAAAAAATCATGTAGGATGCCAAACTCATCTCTACACTTACAAAGCTGACTCAAGGAAAAATCCTGTTTTGTTTTGGTTGGTGAAGCAACAGCATCAGTAAGTGCTTTGCAAAAAGATTCAGGCAACTGAGCTCTCCAGCACTACATGGAACTTCTGTGATCAAATAGAATCTCCGGCAGCAAAGCAGAGGTGACAATTGATCCATTAATCTATTCAATTAAAAGCTTATCATTCAAAGAGAGAAGGTCCCCATCCTGCACAGTTACAATACCATTAAACGGGTAGTTTTACTTCATTATAATTATTGTAAAAACTCAAGCATGTAATTAATGCACATCAGGAAAGATTCTAGGGGTTAAAGAAAATTTTTTAGCCAATTCCATCTATTTTTCTTCCCTTCTTCAAAGGCTGAAATTGTGAGAACCAAAAGATGTAAAATTTAGGAGCATAGTGAAAAAATGGGCAGGAAAAGAAACATAACACAGCCTGCCTAATTAGCAATTTTCTAAAGATTGTCGTTTATGAAGAAGCATTAATAAAATATGAAATAAACTTTGAAAATAAAACTGACAGTCTGGAATATCATGTTAAATGGCATCTAGAAACAAACCTTAATCTTTATTTTAAATAGTAATTAAGAATTACTATTAAATTAAGTGAAGGAGTAATTTACCTTAATACCTTAAATTCATCATTAAGAGTTTTTAATTCGGCACTTCCAGCTAATTCAACATATAAAGCATTAAAGGGTACTTACAGTTATTATACTAGCAATATGAAGAAATCTTAAGGAAAAATACTACTTTCAAGTGCGGTATTAAAATGTCAGTTGGAGACTCCTTTCTACATCCCCTTGGTAAGACCAACAATCATTTAAATGGATGTCATTGTACTTAGCATGGCCACAGTATTCGTACCAAATCATTTTGCTTTTTACTAGCTTGCACAAAAAGCTTTTGAATTCAGCAGCCAGTAGACTGTTATGATGGAAACAGAGTTTGAAGGTGTGAGAAGACTTGAGTCTTAGGTCTGTCACAAGCTGTTTGATCCTCAGTGAGAAGCTTACTCTCACTGAGCAATGAGAGTAAAACATCCAGTAAAGTTCCCGAGAGGGCAGTGAGATTTCAGTGAGAATCAAATACCATAATATGCAATGTCCTTTATAGGCTTATACACATGCGGTGCTGCAGTTAATAATTCTGTTCCATTAAATTACCAAATCAAAAGACTATTCCTCACACAGATCAATAGAACAGAATAGAGAACCCAGATAAAAATCCAGGAACTTACAGGCAACTCATTTCCAAAGGTGCCAAAGACAACTTTACATACAGTGGAGAAAGGGCGGTTTCTTTAATAAATAGTGCTGGGAAAACTGGATTATATTGCTAAGCAAAAGAAGGAAACCAGATCCACAGCTTTTACCATATACACAAATCAATTCAAAATGGATTAAAGACTTACATCTCAGACCTGAACCTATGAAACTACTAGAAGTAAACATTGGAGAAATGCTATAGGACATTGGTCAGTGCAATGATTTTTGGGGTAGGACCTCAAAAGCACAGGCAACAACAACCAAAATAGACAAATGGGATGATATCAAGCTAAAAAGCTTCTGCACAACAAAGGAAGTAATCAAGGAAGTGAAGAGACAACCTAAAGAACTGAAGAATCTATTTGCAAACTATGCATTCAACAAAGGATTAACAACCAGAATACAGAAGGAACTCAAAAAACTCAATTAGCAGAAAAAAAAAACTTATTTTTAAATGGACAAAAGATCCAAATAGAAATTTCTCAAAAGGAGACAGGCAAATGGCCAACAAGCATATGAAAAAAAAAATTCCTAAACATCACTAATCATTAGGGAAAGGCAAATCAAAACCACAATGAGATATCTCACCATAGGCAGGCTATTATCAAAAAGACAAAAATAACAAATGCTGGTGAGAATGCAGAGAAAGGGGAATGGTGGTACACTGCTGATGGGAATATAAAGTAGTATGGCCATTAAGAAAAGCAGTATGGAAGTCCCTTAAAAAAATAAAAATAGAACTTGCATATGATCCAGCAATCTAACTGCTGAGTATATATCCAAAAGAAAGATACCAGGTATGGTGACTCACTCCTGTAATCCCAGCACTTTGGGAGGCTAAGGCAGGTGGATTGCCTGAGCTCAGGAGTTCATGACCAGCCTGGGCAACACAGTGAAACCCCACCTCTACTAAAATACAAAAACTTAGCATGCCGTGGTGGCATGCACCTATAGTCCCAGCTACTTGCAAGGCTGGGGCAGAATTGCTTGCACCTGGGAGGCGGAGGTTGCAGTCAACCGAGATCATGCCACTGTACTCCATCCTGGGTGACAGAGTGAGATTCTGTTTCAAATAAATAAATAAATAAACATCAGTATATCAAAGATATGTCTTAACTTCCATATTTATTGCAGCACTGTTCACAATAGTTAAGATACAAAATCACCTTATAAGTCTATCAACAGATTAACAAAGAAAATACGGAGGCCAAGGCAGGGGGATTCCTTGAGGACAGGAGTTTGAAACTAACTTGGGCAACATAGCAAGACTCCATCTCTACAAAATGTAAAAAAAGATTAAAAAAAAATTAACCGAGTATGGTGGCACATGTTTATACTCCTAGCTACCTAGGAGGCTGAGGCAGGAGGACTACTTGAGCCCAAGATTTCAAGCCTGCAGTGAAGCAGAGTGAGACCCTGTCTCTAAATTAATTAGTTAATTAAAAATAAAAGAAAATGTGGTATACATACACAATGGAACATTATTCAGTCATACAAAATGAAATCCTGTCATTTGTAACAGCCTGGGGGGGACTGGAGATCATTAGGTTAAATTAAATAAGCCAGGCACAGAAATAAAATATTGCATATTCTCACTCATATGTAGGAGCTGAAAAGGTGGATCTCACTGAGGGAGAGAGTAGAATGGTGGTGACCAGAGGCTGGGAATGAAAGGATGGGGAGGGATGAAAGAAGGTGGTTAATGGGCACAAAAATATAATTAGATAGAAGCAATAAGTTCATATGCAATAGTATAGTAGGGAAATTACAGTTAATAATTTATTGCATATTTCAAAAGAGCTAGAAGAAAGGAATTGTAATGTTGCCAACACAAAGAAAAATGTTCCAGGTGATGGATATTCCAGTTACCGTGATTTGAACATTATATATTGTATACATATATCAAAATATCCTACGTAACCCCAAAATATATATAACTATGATATATCAAAAAATGAATTAATTAATTACTTTTAAAAAGACTCTTCCTTGTTTTCCAGCATACTTTGCCTCTGGTAATCTCTTGGCAGAAATATTGAGTGACACTCATAACTACTCTAGACAAGTGTGCCCAGGCTTGAGCAATTTCTAAATTAAGAATTCGGTGGTGAGGATGTTCCAGGCACTCTTGGGTTCTCAAGTCTAGCACTGCCTTTATCTGGACCCTGTAAACCAAAGCCTACCCAGGTTCTGACTGTCCTGAGTGGTATCAAGCAGGAGTGACTCTACCAAGTACACAGTCTAGGGAATGAAGGTGGCCAGAATCAGGCACTTCTGAACACCAAAGCAGAGGCAAGGAAGAAGGGATGATGTGAGTGCCGGGCAGGAAACACAATACGCCAGTGCCCAAAGAGTGACTCATATTCCACAGGCAAAATTCCGACTTTGAGTCTTAAAAGAACAGCATCTTTATTATGCCTCCATCTTTTCTTGGTTTGGTTTTGATATCAGCAGGAAAATCTATAATAGTCAGATGGATAATATTTCACAGTTGAAAACAAATTAAAATATTTCTTCCAGATATAAATGTCCTCGTATCAAAGAAGCTAGATGGTTCACCCAGACTAGATACAGCTAGCTACAGCGATAATCATGAAGATAAAGATAAACGCACACCGATTTAAAGATTGACATGTCTTACATCTGTCAAGCTTCGCAAGTGTTAAGAAACATTGGCTTACTGACTCCACCTCCGTGGCATTCAAAGTTCAATTCTCTTTCTCTGCATGAGTTAACATGTAGATGACAAAACTGATTTCAGTTCCCCAAAGTGCTTCAAAGGAAGTTATCACCTTGGCCTATAATTTCGTTTTGACTGGAAATCATTCTTAATTACCATTTTAAGGCCCCCTTTAAAAAACATATCCAAGGTATTTAGCAAATTTCTGAGTTTCCAATAGTACATACTGTGAAAGTTTCACTTTTACATGCCTTTTATATGACAACAGTTGCAAACTATGAGGAACTCATAAGACATCACTTTCTTTAGAGACCACAAGGTATACAATAACTGAAGGCTAGAAATCTGTCTTAGAGTTAAAAAAAAAAAAATGCTGAGCTCTACAACAGTTTGCCAGTGACTAAGTTGCATCTTATCACCATTAGTTATTCCCCTTTTCCAAAATGTTCATAATTCTTTCATCTAAGACACGCCCTACATTGGGAAGATTCTTGGAATAGTCAGATCTAAACACTAATGAAGTCATCTTGCCAATAACGGGACTAAACCCGAAACCATTTTTATCCCCCTTCTACACTATCCATATTGTGAGTTTTAAAAAGTTACCTCTGAAAGACACTCAGGGAACACGTACTGGGGCCCTTGACCAGTTTACATTGTCTAATGATTTAACAATGTTGCCATCTTAAAATCAGTCAGAGGTTCCTCAGGCCAAATTTCGGGAATAACAAAGAACTCCCCGGTATATAACACTGCCAGGAAAATGTCTCCTTCCAAACAGAAGGGGGAATGAGTTGAAGTGAAAACAATGCCTTTACCTGCTGCACACTCGCGACTCCCATATACGAGTCCAAGACGATCAACAGAGGCACGTGGATATTTTTGCCTTGAAATAACTTGGAGGCTGGAAAACAAGGCGGTGGGGAAAAGAAGCAAAGTCACAATCCACAGCACCCCTCTTCCTTTAAGTCTGAAAAAGGGAGAAAAGTCAAAAAGGTGAACGCAAGACCTCTCTGGAATTCTCAACTCCTCTCAGCCCTAAGAAAAGGATATGGGAGTTTGAGGCTCCTTAAGAGAGTCCGGGTTTGAGCAGCGCCAAGGGAAGGAGGACAAAGTTTGCAAAAGTGAGGAGGGGGTGAAAGTTTGCAAAAATAAATGCACAGTTTCCTTGCAAGTGATTACCGTGCTCGGAGTACGTGAACACCAGCAGATCCTCCAGGATTTGGACCAGCGTTTCTATCTGTTTTCCTTCCTGGACGTTGTTCAGCCTGACTATTAACTTCTTCAGAGTTTCCTCGTCCTCCTCGCACCCCTGACTGCCGCCACTAGCCATGGTGGCCCCAGCTTCCAGCCCGCAGCCCTCCCAGCACGAACGTCCGCTACTCCGGGAACCTGCAGGGGCGCCGGCCAGGGCTTCCCGGGGGCGAGCGCAGCTCCCCTCACCGCCCGCAGCCTGCGCTTCCCGCGGGCCCCATCGGCACCCACGCCCGCCTGTTTATGAGGAAGGCGGCGGCTCCCCGCCCCCGCTGCCCTCCCTCTCCGGAGCCCTCCTGCTCGGCTTCCTCCTCCCCCACCCAGGCCCCCAAAACGAGCTCAGGGGCCTGCCCGAGGCTCGGGGGAGGCGACGGGCCTCCCAGAACGCTGACAGCGGCCGAGCGGCTGCTGGAGCCGGGCCTGGCCGGGATGACCGTGACCGTGGCCCCCACGCCCGCCTAAGCCGGACCCCGGGCTGGCGCCGCCTCCTGGGACCAGATTCCACCCCAGCGGCGGCGCGGCTGGGAGACGCGCAGGAAAAAAACTGACTGGGCGGACTCCGCCGAGGCCCCAGGCCCCGAGCCCCGCAGCGGAGGCGCGCAGTGCGCAGCCCGGCCGGCCACCCTCCGCTACCCGCCAGCCGGGGTTCCTGAGGCCCCACGGAAGGCCTGGGAACTGGGAGCAGGAAAAGATGAAAGCCGCCTATCTCCAGATCTAAGAATAGAAATCAGGGCGTTGGGAAAACAGGACACCTCCCAGATGGCCCCTTTTAGGAAAACATTCTCTTTAGAGTTCCCCCTATAGGGAGTAGAGTAATTTCCCCCAAAGGATGGAGAGAGAGGTTAGCTAACAAAACTTGCCCGCTACTGACTTTTTTATGATTGTGGTGACTGTTCGTGGGAGAGGAAATAAACATTGTTTCTTTGTGAGTTATCTGAAGCTCTGGTCACCACAAGGCCACTAAATTAACTTTTGGAAATGTGAGTTGCTCTAGGCAGGATCCTGATGGTTGGGACACCAGAATAATAATCAGCTTTCAGAGCTATTAGAACCAAGACGAAGAACAGGGTACATTAAATGAAAGGTAAAAAGGTGAGAGAAGTAAACCTAAGTACTTCTGGTATTCAGAATTACTTATGAGTGTCTATCACCCCCAAGTTTTTTTTTTTTTTTTTTTTTTTTTTTTTTGAGACGGAGTTTCGCTCTTGTTACCCAGGCTGGAGTGCAATGGCACGATCTCGGCTCACCGCAACCTCCGCCTCCTGGGTTCAGGCAATTCTCCTGCCTCAGCCTCCTGAGTAGCTGGGATTACAGGCACACGCCACCATGCCCAGCTGATTTTTTGTATTTTTAGTAGAGACGGGGTTTCACCATGTTGACCAGGATGGTCTCGATCTCTTGACCTCGTGATCCACCCGCCTCGGCCTCCCAAAGTGCTGGGATTACAGGCTTGAGCCACCGCGCCCGGCCTCACCCCCAAGTTTTTTTGCTTTTGTTTTTTGATGCTTGTTTGTTCTGTTAAGTACCTAAGTAGCGTGTTTTCTAGGAGGAGAAACCTAGCAAGAACATTGTAGACAAGGCTAGGCAAAGATGATGTATCCTTCAGGTGATGTGTCTGTCCTCAAGTTCATCTACAAAGAAGAGGACTGGGCTGGAAGTTAGTACTTCACAACTTTTGATTTGTTTTCACATATGTTACTTCAATCCTGATGACAATTCTGAAACGGATAAAACTGCTACTATGTATCCTTCTTTCACTAATGAGGAAATTGAGATTTGGAGTTGATAAGTGAAGAGCTTTGCTGGAGTCACACAGATCGGAAGTTGAGAGCCAGGATTTCAACCCAGGCTAATCTCAAAACACCAGGTAGGAGGTTCTTCATACTCTACCACTTTAATAAGAATGCTCTAGACTTTGTTAATTCATTTAGATTAGTAAGATAGCAAATTCCTACTCAACCTGGAATTGGGTCTATATCTTATTGTTGTAGAGTCTTCAACTTTCGCAGAGACTTGCTGAAATATTTACAGGTGAAATGATAGAATAGTTAGGATTTGTTTCAAAGTCATCCAGTGGTGGAGGAAAAGATGAAATGTGTGGAAGTAGAGATAATAACAACAACTTTTGAACTGGTAATTGTTGAAGATAATGAGATGGGTTCATGAGGTCTGTTACTGCTATTCTGTCTGTATAAAATTTGCCATAATTTAACAAAAAACTCCCAATCTTAATATTTATCATACCTACAGTATATTCTTTTCTAAGTTGTTTCTGACCTTGTTTCAATTTCTGATGAGTTAATCAGTGTCTCAAATATTTCTGGGAATTCTCCATCTCATGCATTCCTTCTGTTCCTCTGCATTAGTTTCTCCCTTCCTATTCTACTGAATTACAACCTTGCAAGAAATTAAAACCTACCTCCCTTCAAAAAGGAAAATAAATCTAAATTAAAAGATGTCTCCTAATTTCCACAATTTATTAATCGATCTATTGCCTATTTATCATCTACTTTATATTAGCCAGACTGTGAGAAGGCAATATGAAAATATGAATTCTCTGTTGGGCGCATTCTCCCATGAACTACTGCAGTGTTAAGGCAAAGCATTCTCTTAGCTTTCAAAAATGTTTAATTGATTGCAAAAATTCCAAGATTGATCAACTCTTCAGGTAGTTAACAAAACAGAAAATGAAGATCACAGGCACAAATTTATGATTGAAGCAGTGTTCAGTGGAGAATAAAATGTTGCTAGAACATTTGGCTACATTCCTGAAAAAAAAATAATAAAACTGACAATACTAATTACAGCAAACCTCAAAACAAACTCCAGACAGATTAAAAAGTTAAAAATAATTTCAAAAAGAAAATATAATTGTTATTTAATCTTGAATAATAAAACATAAAACAAGAAAGAAATCACATAAGATTGGTATATGTGACTCCATCAAATTTAAATTTTCTGCAGTCAACAAAAAAAATACCCATTAATGAAACTAAAAGTCAAATGGCAAACTGGAAGAAATAAGTTGTAATAACATATGATGAAACACAATTTGCTTTCAACGTTCAAAAGTTCTTACAAATCACTGGGAGGATGGTATTATGCCACAGATAGACCAGGGAAAAAAAATAGTAAAGTAAGGTTTTCAACAGGAAATTCACTCTGAATGACCAATAACTATTTTTTAAATGTCATAATTATAAAAAATTGTGTTCATAAACATGAGCAACATACAAGTATAAAGTGTAATTGTGTGTGTGTATAATGACAAGAGAGAAACCATGAAAATAAATCTAGCAAATATTTACAAAACCTTTTTAAATAAATTATTGAACTATGTTAATAGGCATTAAAAAGGCATGAATAAATGGATAGTACATATTAATGAATGGGAAAATTAAATATCAAAAAGATGTCAATTCTCCATAAAGTAATAAAAAACAATGCAAGATTAGTGAAATTCTTAACAACATTTACATACATTTCAGCAAGATCAAAAGCCCTAATATAGACTAGACACTTTTGAAGAAGGACAAGATAAGAGAATTTCCATCTTGGAATGTCAGTTGACATCCAATTGACATTCATTCAGAGTATGTAGTAGCCTTTCTCTATCAATTTCCTAAGAGGGAAAATGTACCCCTATGGTGAAAGAGGGGAACCCTGAAAGCACAGAGTTTACCCAGCAGGCAGTCTTTCTATGAATTAGAAAATGGTGCCACTCCTTCAAGGTAGATACAGCTTTGTGTCTGGGTATATCAAGCAAGATTTGGATTTCAGTCTCTACCCATTTCTTCATCCTGGTGTTGTTATGGAGGACACAATTTGTACAATATAGGAAGCATTATATCTTTATGAAACTATAGAAATTAATTGGCATGTTATTGACACAGCTATACAAAATGACCAAAGAGTAAAGAAAACCCAGAAATACATCTTTACATATATAGAAATGATATATGAGAGATGTTACATTGTGTACCAGTGGGGAAAAAAAGGGCAATTTGATAAATGAATCTGAGCCCACTGCTTGCGGAAAAAGCATCAAATGATATGCCTACCTCACACCATATTAAAAAACAAATTCCACATAGATTGAACATTTTTGTATAAAAAAATGAAAATCAGCCAGGCACAGTGGCTCACACCTGGAATCCTAGCACTTTGGGAGACCGAGACAGGCTGATCACCGGAGGTCAGAAGTTCTAGCCAGCCTGGCCAACATGGTGAAACCCTGTCACTACTAAAACTACAAAAATTAGCCAGGCATGGTGGCACATGCCTGTAATCTCAGTTACTGGGGAGGCTGAGGCAGGAGAATTGCTTGAACCCAGGAGGTGGAGGTTGTAGTGCGCTGATATTGCACCACTGCACTTCAGCCTGGGTGCAGAAGTGAGACTCCATCTCAAAAAAATAGAAAAAAAAATTTGAAAAAAAGATAGAAAAGTATCTGACATGCAGAGGGAAAAACCAAGACAAAAATTACTGTTCAGGCAAGGCATGGTGGCTCACACCTATAATCCTAGCACTTTGGGAAGCTGAGGTGGGAGACTTACTTGAGGCCAGGAGTTAAGACCATCCTGGGCAACATAGAGAGACCGTGTCTCTCTATGTCTCTATAAAAAATTTACAAATTAACTAGGTATGGTAGTGTGTGCCAGCAGTCCTAACTTCCTAGGAAGCTGAGGCAAGGGGATCACTTGATCCCAGGAGTTGCAGGTTACAGTAAGCTATGATTGTGCCACTGCACTCCAGCTGGATGGACAGAGCAAGGCCCTGTCACTAAATTAAAAAATAAAATAAAATCACAGTTCACAAAGAAAAAAATTATTAAATTTAGAGACACTGAAATTTAAGACTAAGTATACAAAAGACTCAATCAACAAAGTTAAAAGATGACCATAGATTGGAAGGTTTTTGCAAAGCATATAACAAATAAAAGTTAATAAGAAGAATATATAAAAAGAACTATCACAAATTATAAAGGAAAATATAAGTAGCCTAGTTTTTATATAAGTTTCAAAAATATAGCTGGGCACAGTGGCTCATGCCTATAATCCCAGCACTTTAGGAGGCCGAGATGGGCAGATCACTTGAGGCCAGGAGTTCAAGACCAGCCTGACCAAAAACCCTGTCTCTACTAAAAATACAAAAATTAGCCAGTTATGAGGGTGCGTGCCTGGAATCCCAGCTACTTGGGAGGCTAAAACAGAAGAATTGCTTGACACAGGAGGCAGAGGTTGCAGTGAGCCAATATTGCATGACTGTACTCCAACCTAGGCAATAGGGTGAAAATTTGTCTAAAAAAATTATATTTATAAATATATATATTTATATTTATATAATTATATATATTTATATTTATGTAATTATACATATACATACATATATATATATATATATATATATATATATAGCAATATGTAAAAGAGGAAAAGCCAATAAACTTAATAAACCGGTAAAAGTATAAATCAGAGCAAGCACCTTGCAGAGCAAATGGCAAAATCTAGGAAAGCTGATATGTCTATTCTATGACCTGACATTTTTACTCTAGGGCTATTTCTTAGAGAAATTCTCGAATGTACATAAGGACATTTATGTAAGACTCTTCAGTGTATCATTTTTTGCTTATAATGAAAATGTAGACCATATGAATATCTATCAACACATAAAGTGCATATATTCATATAATGGACTTTTATAAATCTGTGAAAATTATTGAACTACAGCTCCATTTCAATGTGGCTAAATAGCAAAAATTGTAATACTGGGCTTTTAAAAAGTTGCAGAGGATACATATAGCATGATGTCAGTACTCCAATGCTATAAAATACACAAGATTTTATATACTTTAGGGATATATATGTATGTATATAAATTATGCTTGGGAATAATATTTACCAAATTCTAGCTAGTGGTTATCTCTGGGGAGAAGAAAGAAGAAATTTACCTGGGAAGGATATTTTATTGACTGCAAGTGTATCTGTAACTTTCCTTCTCTTTAAGCTTGTCGTTAGGTACATGGGTATTTATTAAATTATTACCCATATTCTGTTTCTACCTTATTTAATAATAAAAATAATTAAACATATGTTCAACTTCACTGGTGCTCAAGGTAATACATTAACAAATTAACCCTTTTCATTCACCAAATTATTAAAGAAGTCTTTGAAATTTCAGCAGGAGTTTCTTATGAGGAAATGATAAATTGTTCACGATATATGGGAAAACAATGTCATAAAATTCCAGAATTTTGATTCAAGTTTTCCAAAAACACCCAAAAAAGGGTTATGCCTAATAAAACTACTGAAAGTAGATAAAGCACACACATAACAATAGTTTGTGCTAAATGATCACATAAACAGTCAATTAAAGTAGTTTTTTGTTTTTTTGGTTTTTTTTTTTTTTGAGACAGAGTCTCACCCTGTCACCAGGCGCCAGGCTGGAGTGCAGTGGCACAACGTCGGCTCACTGCAACCTCCGTCTCCTGGGTTCAAGCAATTCTCCTGCCTCAGCCTCTGAGTAGCTGGGACTACAGGCATGTACCACCACGCCCAGCTAATTTTTTTGTATTTTTAGTAGAGACGGGGTTTCACCATGTTGGCCAGGATGGTCTCGATCTCTTGACCTTGTAATTCACCCACCTTGGCCTCCGAAAGTGCTGGGATTACAGGCGTGAGCCACCGTGCCTGGCCTAAAGTAGTTTTATGTATGTGTTATATACTGCATTCTTACAATAAAATGAGCTATAGAAAAAAATGCTATTAAGAAAATTATAAGGAATTTTAAAAAGTACTGTTTATTAAGTGAAAAGGGATCATCATAAGGTCTTCATCGTCATCATCTTCACATTGAGTTGGCAGAGGAGGAGGAGGAGAAGCAGGACTTGGTCTTGCTCTCGCAGGGGTGACAGAGGTAGAAAAGGTAGAGAAGGAACAGGAAGCACACTAGTGAAGACATCTAAGGCTTATGCATGGAGCTACACAGTTCAATCTCATATTGTTCAAGGGTCAACTGTACTTCACTGATAACTGAAAATTCCATGAAGGCATCCTGGATTTTTTTCTATACCAACTCAAACATGTTCTGGCACACAGAAGCCATTAGAGGAATAGTTGTTACTTAGATGAATAACTGAATGAAATGATCTTCCCAAAGGCATCACTAAGAGCCAGAACCATACTGTGTGATGCCAGTTTCCCAGTCCAAACTTTTTCTATTACTTTATCGTTCTTAGGTAAGTTTCATTAAACCAGAGATAAGCTATTAAATCACTGAAACTGCACTTATCCTTTATATCTGTGCCTTATATATACTGAAAAAAACATTTTTTTTTCTAGTTTCTGAACTAGAGATAAAAATTACAACTGTGCTATGGTATGATATTCTCATATCAGTTGCAATAATCTCTCATTAAGTCACATACAAGTTACTCTGAGATTAGAACAGCAGAG